TTAAATCCTAAAATTAGCTTTAAAGCATGTGGTTGAAAACCCATTATACAGTATACAAAAAAGCATTTTTGAAATGCTTAAATCTCCAAAATGTTAAACCATTTTGTCATTTTGACTTTGCTAATTCTCAAATCAACATGTGTTTTCCATACAGCATTTCATTATAATAAAATGGATCTACAGATCTAATAATCTGGCATCATATCAGGGTCATATGAACCCTGTGACCTTTGACTAAGTATCAGAGCTTTGTATCAGTGACCTTTTAAAACGTACATTACCCAGCCTGAGTGCTTGAGAGTAAGAAATAACCCATAATGATCAGCTGACTGTAGTGTCACAATGTGTCTCATGGGAAGACTAGTTTAAAATAGCCTCTCACGTATAAGCGTATGATAAGGTGTAAACAGGTCCTTTGTCCTCTGCATGCTAATTTAAAAACTGACACTTTTAATCAGACATACAAAAATGCCAAATAATGAGGATAATGTAAAACTAATAAAGAGTAAGAAATCTAAATTCACTAGGTTTATTTTGCTATTTTTCAGGGTCTGATTATTTTCTTTGGCATTTGGAGTGGCGGTACTTCTCTGTTGTCGTCAGTTCGAAGGGTTTAGCCACAATATTGTTAACCACGCTCCTTTTGCTGTTAGTTTGCTATGAGGGAATGGTGCGCAAAAAAAGCCCTACCCCTACTTAATAATTGACTTAAGTACATAAACATACTGAAATAAAAGCAAGTTTCAGTACACGCCAACTTTTAAAGCTATAAGTTCAGCCAAAAAATAAGAAAGTGTATGCACATTTGCACTAAAGAAACTTTCTTAATCACTCCATGTCTCTTGGAAAACATACACTATGGCCAAGCTTATTCAATTAACCTATAGGACTTGTCTTTGGACTGTGGGGGAAACCGGAGCACCCGGAGAAATCCCACACCAACACGGGGAGAACATGCAAACTTCACACAGAAATGCCAGTTGGGACTCGAACCAGCAACCTTCTTGCTGTGAAGCCACCATGTCGCCTCATGTTTGTTTGTGGATAAATGTAAATAAATAACAGATCATGTAAAAAAAAAAAAAGATCATTTTGAGGTGAATTATTTCTTCAAATGGATAGTTATCCCCCCAAAAATTACCAGCTATTTACTTAAATTAACGAAAGCTGAAATCCTGTAACTATTGACTTCCACAGTCAGGAAAACAAATACTATGGAAGTCAATAGGGCGAAGCAGTGGCGCAGTAGGTAGTGCTGTCGCCTCACAGATAGAAGGTCACTCGAGTTGGCGTTTCTGTGTGGACTTTGCATGTTCTCCCTGCATTCATGTGGGTTTCCTCCAGGTGCTCTGGTTTCCTGCACAGTCCAAAGACATGCGGTACAGGTAAATTGGGTTGGCTAAATTGTCCGTTGTGTATGTGTGTGTGTATGAATGAGTGTTTGGATGTTTCCCAGAGATGGGTTGTGGTTTATTCAAAATATCTCCTACTTAGAAATAAAGATAAACAGGATTGGAACAAGTTAAGGACAAGTAAAATATGACAACATTTTCAGTTTTGGGTGATTTATCCCTTTAGGCAGGTTAGGTGGACTAGTGATTAGCAATTTGATATATATATATAGAATATGTCTGATTTGTGCATGATGGGGTATTTTAAGAGTCCAGTGCTTCTGTGTTGACAGTTTACTCTGTCTGAGAATGTCAGCTGCAGATGTAAATGCTCAACTGACCAGTCTGCTGGATGAATGGTGAACTTATATTATGGTTAAGTCATAGCACAGGCACTGCTGTAAATCTAATAGGTTATTTTGAGGCTCAGAGTATCCCAAGCAGCTGGGCGGGGCCATCCATAAAACCTGACTCTCTCTCTCTCCTTTTAAGTTGAGCACAGAATTTAAGGCTTGAGGAAAGTAGACACTCAATATGAAGGTGTGATTTTGTTAATTCAAAAGTGGATGAAGCCTGCATAATTAAGCCTGCATGACACAATCAATATATTGGGTTTCTGCGCAATGACCTCAATCAATTTTGGGTGACAATACATATAGTATATGACCCATCACATTTAAATGATCTATAATGTTAGCTGATTGTGCAACCTTTCATCTCATCTGAGTGATTTTTCACATTTTTCAGATAGCTACTGATGTTAAGAAGTTGTCCAAATGAGCTGTTTCAAAGCTGATGACCACTTCCACAAAAGTGAGTACAATGACCCACATTCACCATTAATGTTAAATTCATTTTATAAGAACATTCTGCTTACATAAAAGCTTATATTAGGATTTACATTGACCTTTTAAATCAACAAATTACAGAATCTAAATTACCATAATAATAAAGGGTTTTTGTTCCTTGAAAGTGTTTACGTGTGATTATGGTGTTGTATAATTATCATAAAACCACTGGCAAAAAAACATCTTGAAATGACATTAAAGTGCACATATTTGACCCTTTTTCAAGATTTAAGATAAGTATGTTGTGTCTTCAGAATGTATCTGCAAAGTTTTTACTTAAAACACCCATCAGATTATTTATTTTACCTTTCAGATAATTGAATTTTCTGCTCTGAACACAATGTAGCTGTTTTTGTGGCCTGTGCCTTTAATGCTAGTTCTCCCCGCTCATCGTTCCCACATGTCTGTCAAAGTGTGCACCAATCACCGGCTGCGTCAGATAAACAGCACAGTGTCAGACATGAAGGAAGCCGATCTCGCGTCACGTTTGTGACAATTATCACAGTAAGAACTTTCCCTATGATTATTTGATGTATTTGTTGCTGAGTTGATTCAAGCCTTTCTGCAATGAAGAGTCACACACAATGACGTTATAAAGTTCACTCACGCAGACAGATACACAGCAAATGTTACAGGATACACGTTAATATCCACTGCTTATGATATCTGTTATGTTAATCGACAAAATAAAAATAGTTTAACATCCAAAAACGCACGTCCTGTCCTGTTGATTTGATTATACGCGTTACTATGGAGACATGTTATACACGGCAGTCAGTCTATTCGGTGGGCAGGGAAACCACACTCCTACATCACGTTGCGGTGGGCCTCAAAATGGGAGGGATTTGGATCCTATTTTAATGTTAGCAAATTAAAAACGGAGACTTGTTGTCTTTATATCACCCCAATATGACTGTGGACACTCTACCTACACTATATTCTGTCCAAACAGCTTCCAAAAGATGATTTCCATCATAGCCCTGCTGAAAAATCCAGATTAAACCAGCCTAGGCTGGTTTAAGCTGGATTTTTTAGCAGGGAGGTGCCTTTTAATATCAATATTGCAATAAATTTTGTGAAAATAGTCTATATAACAAATCAAAAATGATTTATAGCGATGCCTTTATAAATACAGGTGTAAACAGAGTATGAAATGTTTTGAGCTTTCAAACAGCTACTAAAAACCACCTACTGACCTAAAAGCAAAACGTTCTTTGTCCTGATTCTTCACAACAGTTGTTCAGCCTTTTTTTGTGACAATGTTTTTCCATCACCCTGTATTAATGTTCATTTTGAAGTATCTGTTTCTATTTCTTTATTGCTGAGGATCTTCAGAGCTGAAATTCCAATTTAGCTTTATTGAAAATACTTGCCTCAGCCTACATTTTTTGCAAAATGTAAAATACGTTGATTGTTTCAGATGACAAATCCTCTAGAGATTTGTCTCTAAATCCCAAACTTCCCTTCCCTTGTTTCCTCTGGGAAATTCCGGCCACCATTTTAAAGTGCATTCCACTTTAGCAGGTGAACAAGGCAAGTTTACATGGACATACCCTAGATTTCTTGATTTTTTGAGCAAGTCAGCTTTATACAGTTGAAGTCAGAATTATTAGCCCCCCTTTAATTAAAAATTTTTTTTTATATATATATATTTCCCAAATTACGTTTAACAAAGCAAGGAAATTTTCACAGTATGTCTGATAATATTTTTTATTTTGGAGAAAGTCTTATTTGTTTCGTTTCAGCTAGAATAAAAGCAGTTTTAATTTTTTTAAACACCATTTTAAGGACAAAATTATTAGCCCCTTTAAACTATATATTTTTCACTAGTCTACAGAACAAACCATTATTATACAATAACTTGCCTAATTACTCTAACCTGCATAGTTAACCTAATTAACCTAGTTAAGCCTTTAAATGTCACTTTAAGCTGTATAGAAGTGTCTTGAAAAATATCTAGAAAATATTATTTACTGTCATCATGGCAAATATAAAATAAATCAGTTATTAGAGATGAGTTATTAAAACTATGTTTAGAAATGTGTTGAAAAAACTTCTAAACAGAAATTGTGGGAAAAAAAATAAACAGGGGGGCTAATAATTCTGACTTCAACTGTATATGCACTCCATCATCACCTATATGTCCCAGAATGCAATGCGACTGTGACATCACAACCGCGTAGTTCCTAAGTGATCAAGAGTTTAGGGCATTCAGATGTTCATCCGATAGTGAACACTTGTGTAACATAGTCAATGACGTACATCCGAGGGAACAGGACAAAGGGAAGTTAACAAGTAAAGGGCATAAAAAATTGGACTGGAATGCAACCTGAAATGCTACTTTGACTACGTTTTGTTTTACCAAAAATGTTCAACTTGATGCATGTACAACTATATAAACTAAAGTTAGGAACCTCTAACTATTTATAATAAATGGGACACTTTTAAGACACTTTCTGGAATTGTTCACCCCCTATTCAAATTACAACTATAACCATTTAGCTTTTTATCTATGCAAATACAGTCAAACACAGTCAAACGGGCGTTAAGGTTCAGTTAGCACTGTGACCAGCGTATTCATAAAATAAAACATGCTCAAAGCTATATTACGCTGACTTTTTCTGACAAAAAGTCTTTTAAAATAAATCTCTCCCAGGTAACGACACATTTATATGAGCAAATAGTAAGAATATATGATAAGACAAAAACATTCTTCATTTAGAACAAGATTTCTTCGATAAAATATAAAAAGACAGATCAGTATTATTTGAACATTTTATTTTCAGAAATGTCATTTGAGACACTTTATTTACACTTAATATGCTTCCTATGTATACAAAATTTGAAGTGGACAACAAAATGAGACGTGTTGTCTTTGACCCATTTATGTCTTCAGTAGATGCTTTGTTTTACAACACAGCAGAAATCATTACTGGCAAATACATACGCAATAGAAATACAGCTGGCAACCTCACCGTGTTCATGTATTCCAACAGAAGAATAAATCCTCAGCACTGAAGCAGCAGAAACGTCTCAGAACGGCACTAAACACACTTAGCAGTAGCCTGTTGAACTGAACTGCTTCAGTGTCTGGTCTTGTGATGTCAGAATCACATTTGCCTAATTCAATAAGAGTTCCTTCTGTGAGGTACTCAAAGGTCAGGAAACACAACTCTTATACTCATCGAATAAATAAAGATGTGTAAAACATATTTGTTTATTTTAATAATTGGTTATAGTGAACGAATGAAAAAGCGGTCCATATCTGATGCAGACAATAAACAATTTATTTCTATAATTAACTGTACAGTACATTATAAAACAGTGCAGCACAACTTAAAATGGTCAAATGAAGTACAATTTACAGACGGTGTATGTTCCAAGTCACTTTTAAGAGCTGTTAGGTTAGGGCTAAAGACAATCCTCTAGTTTCTCCAGTTGATTTTATTGTTAGCCTATATTAACATGTCAACATGACAGTAATTAAATGACTTTGGTCTCCTCGATTCAAATATGAAATGCAGTATCAAAACCAAAAAGACAAAGAGACTTGAATGAGCCACGAATATGCATCTGTTCAAAATAATCTTTGCTCTATAAAGACCGCAACCAGGTGAAGACAAAACCTCAGCGCAATGAAAAAGCGGTTTTACCGAACAACCCTTAGACAACTGATTGCAAATGGCAACAGGTAAGGCACTTGCATGTCTGAAGAAACAAAACATCTAGTACTGAAATCAGCAGCAGGAGGAAGTACGACGAGCCATGAGCGGAAACAAAACGACAACTTTACTCTCTTTGGGAGGCCATCTTTTTGGCAATCTTTTGGCAAATACTTTTATGACCACATTATATGTATTTTTGGAAATATAAGGGCAAAATAAATAAATAAATATATAAAAAATATGAGATGCTAATTTTCAGTTCCAAATAACTGACGATTTAAAAAACAAATCAAGTAGGTTTCAAACTAAACATCAGAATATCAATCCTTTAATACAGAAGTGACTCAGCCCACGAGGATCAGATAGAAAATAAAACATTTCCATTAAAATCTAGCTCATATCTGATTTTCATTCTTTCATTTTCTCACTGACTTTCGCGTTCATTCTTGAAATAAAACTAGTTACTTTTGACAATATTGTATAAATAAAAACTATTCTCTTCAAATTCTTGCGTACACTTATTGCACAGGCCACTTTGCATATTTTCATTTTTACCAACAAAAGAAAAACATAGTAGACAACAAAGACAACAATAATTTTATAAATTACATAAATATATGAAAAAATAATTAAGGTCAAGTTTAACCAATACAAGTCATCTGCAACTTCTTTTATACATATCATACACCATCATGGTAAACTGAGCAAGTCCCTACACCCACAAGATAACACACTTCTCCACCTTTTATTACCTTAACTGTCATTATCAGATGCCAAGGTGTCATTTCGTATAGGAGACACTTTAAAAGGACCTTTTAAAGGACGATAGTGACTAATTTGAACATCCTCTGATCAACTTGAAGACTGCATTGTACTAATGTGTTGCTGCTAAAGCCTTTTTGCACATCACAGGCTACAATTTGTACAATAAACAGCTTAAGCTAAATTACATGACAGGAGCTATGCTCTAGTAGCACATTTCAGATGGAACTGACCCTATAAACACCGGCTGAGAAGCAAATTAGAGAACTGCGAGACAAATAGCCAACCACATTCATGTCGGAATTTTTCTCTGGAAATAGACAATAATTATGGGGCTTTGTTGATGTCATTTTTGCAAATGGCAACATTTAAGAATTGAGTAACTATCAAGGTGGAATAACACAGTGAACATAATCACGATTTTCAGACTAAACTGCCATCTTAAATTACTTTTTGTGGTGCGACAATTTGCTGAAAATTTTTTTTTAAAGGTCCCAAAGGCAAAACTGAACAAAAAATGTACTGAAATTTTCATGACTAGAGAGTTTCATTTTAACGGGAGCTTAGATCATAGATTTAAGTGTATAAAGCTCAAAGTTTTGGCCTCAAACTAGTATACATTTTTATTAAGCCACAGCTGAAATGGTCAGAATCTAAATCTGGTTCGGTTTTTATGTGATTAACTTTAAAAATAATAATAATAATAATAAGTATTAAGATTGCCTACCACCTTCTTTGCACCAACCAGCAAATTCTATGCTTTGGAAATGTCATTAGTAAACAAGCACTGCAAAACCCTACTGATTTATTTCAACCGTAATGATAATCTAAATCATTTGAATTGACCCCCCCCCCCCCCCTCAAGTAATCAGATCTGATCTCCATGATTGGTTCATCTGCAATAGTGCACCAAATAAGCTGGTAAACAATTTGGCAGGCAAAATGTCAGTAGTATTTGTGTTAATAAAAATACAAACCAATTGGCACAAAAATGTGTGTTAAAAGGTAAATAATGGAGATTTAACCATCGTTAAAAAAAAAATGGAAGAAAATCATTACGAATTTACCCAGGTCTGATTATACAACCTATAAATGGGCCGCACTCATATTAAAACCTTAACAGGTGGGGCTTCCTTCAGCAAGACAAAGAAAAGCGGTATCTATCAACAAAGCCATTAATGAAGGTCCAAGCCAGAGCATGCTTTAATATATATGTTAGTTAAAGCACGGACAGACACATGAAGAATGCAGTGCAGTTATGTAAAGGGCTGCTGGAAAGACGTCCAAGCCTGGCCTGATTGTTCTCATGAGGTGACTTGCAGCATCAGCCTCCACGGTCGCTCTCGATGGCTGTAGGACTCACTGAGAAAGCATTTCTGACATCTTTGAGTCAGCTTTTCAGAGTTAAAGAGAGCTTTGGAGAGCAGGAGGACTGCACACACAGAGCAGGCTCTTGCTCATCATAGTCAGTGGAGACTGTGGCAGAAAGTGAGAGGTCCTCTGTGGAGATGGCCAAATCCCCTAGCTTGGCCAGCGAGTTAGACCTTTTGAGTTGGGAGGACACCGTCAGTCCGGCAAGCCGCACACGGGTCTCAATCTCTCGGGTGCGCTGGCGTACCAAGCCCGGCTGAACTCTTCGAACTCTCTGAAGACTGTCGCTGCTGGAGCTGCGCACCAGGGACATGCCTGGTGGAGACCTTTGCTGGAGTTCACTGGAGCTGGGGTGCACATAGGGGATGATGTTCCCCTCATCAACCTCCATGTCCTCTGTGGTACTGTCCTCTACGCTCACATCCATCTGTTCGGACAGTGGCTCCGGTCTGTGCTGTGCATCTAGGTGTGGCCCCTGACTGAGCTCCGCCGCAGGCCTCTCACCACCCAGACTGAGCTTCAGGAGAGTGAGCTCAGCTGTTGGACTGCTTGAGCTCCCCTTGCTCCCCTCGTCCTCCCCCTCCATTTTGTCCTCAGTCTCCAAGGAATAAGGCAAAACCTGAGGAAGGTCTTTGCAGCTCCGCTGCTTCCGGTAAGTGTCCAAGTTGACCCGACTGGAGCAGCGAAAGCATTGGCAGTGCCCGCTGCTCATGTGATGCAGAGGGACAGGAGGAGGCACCTTGTTGATGGAGACAGGACGGAATTTGAGTCCTCCAGGGGCCTGGATGGAGATACTGGGCAGGCCTGTGTGGCGTGGCAGGTTAAGGCGATGGTTGCGACGTTCGCAGCGGCGGCCACTGGGTAGGCGCAGGCAGTCTCGGCACGACTGATATGAGGGCTTCACTTTGAAGGGGTTTCCAATGCTAGCACTGTCCTAAACCGATGAATACACACAGGCAGGGAGAATGCATGGTTAGGTTTTTCAAAGGTGTAAGAGTACGGGATGCTTTAGAGAAAGTAAAGCGTTTAGGATGGATTCACAGAAAAGAGCTCTTTGAGCTATAAGCTTGCATACAAGCCAGGAGAGCTGCCGCTACAGCTAAGACGTCATACTCACGTCAAAGCCAGAAGGGCAGCTGCGCTTCCCAGCCAGCCTGTTGCTGTTGTTGGCGTTCTCGTTGTTAAAGCGGTTCGAATTAGCCAGGCTCTCGTCTTCCCTCGGCGTCTCCTCGCCGCGAGCTAAGGCCGCCATCTCCGCCTCCTCCTTTTGTGCTTCCTCCTCATCTTCCTCCTCCACCGTGCTAAACTCCAGCCGCAAGCGCATGTCCTCCAAAGGCTCCAGTCGGCCACAGGTCTGAGCTGCTGTGCCTTCCCCAGGAAGGCCCAAGTGAGCCATGGGGAAACCTTCATCGTCAAGCAACGCGTCCCTCTCCACGTCTTCGATCTCAATAAAGACCCTCTCCATGCCTAAAAGTGGAGGACCCCGGACCGGCGTGGAGGGTTCGCTGTCCAGAGCGGTGTCTGAGAGACGCCGGAAGTAGTAGTTGTAATTGAGATGGTCTGTGGGCTCTTCTCCACAGCAGGGGGAAGCACTTGCTCCTCCGTGGCCCCAAGCCCTCTCCTCCTGATCAGGGTGCAGCAATGAAAACTGAGGAGTCTGATCACCACTGGCAGCAGAAGCCTGGAGACCCTCTGGTGAATACTCATCCCCATCTGGTTTCCAGAGTTTATTGTGTCTCTGCTTGCTACAATGACAGAAAAACAAAGGTACCCTGTCACCTCTTTATAACGTGAGAAGAAAACACACCATCAGAGAAAATTCTTAAAATGCAAATGCTACGTTTGCTCCCTTATTACGTTAGAAAGACTGTGCTGCCACTAACAATCGGTACGTTTTGTTTTCTTGTGTCTTCAAATTAGCATAAACCAACCTGAACCAACATCAAAATGTATGGTCTTTACACATTATTCACACAAATATTCACAAAAATAGTAAAATATTCTAGATAAAACAAATGTAATGCAAATACAGCAAACACAATGGAGGATTTTTTAGGTGACATTATCTTATTTTCCCACCTGGCATCTAAAATCCCCTCGTACTCGGCCAGCTGTTTCATAAATGCTGGATTTGGTTGTGCTATATTCCTCTTCTGTTTGACAAAATTGTAAGCCTTCTCAAGTGACCATCCATACTCCTTCATGGCATATGCAATGACAGTAGATGCTGAGCGACTCACTCCCATCTTGCAGTGTACTAGGCATTTAGAGTCGTTTTTCCTATATGAAAGACAGAGAGCAACAAGGTAAAAAAAAAACTTAGGGGTCCAATAAAGCTTTACCATGTAAAATGGCACAAGACATAAATAAAAACCTCTTTTTTCCTTCAATATCTTTAAAGGTAACTCACTTGGCTCTAACTATGAAGTTGTAGGTTTCGTTCCAGTGCGCCAGCAGATCTGTAGTCTCATCATCATAAACACGGACATTACAATAACAAAAGGTACCTGGGAAAAAGTTGTCAATCTCTCTTGTGACATTGAGGATATACCCAACCCTGCACAAAAATAAATGAACGTTACACAGTTTACTGCCAATTTTTGTTAAATAAACACAATCTTAATTCAGCACACAGTTAGTCGATACGTAGCAGCACTAACCCAGAGTCTTGAAGCTCCTCCAAGTTGGATGCATTCCACTCTGAGCCCTGAAATGAACGACAAGTACAACATCCTTAGCTTTATTAGCTTCAGAATCTTAACGCTTCAGTTGATTTTGTTGAAAACTTATTTAGGTTTGTGGTGGAAGTAACCAAGAATGCGGTTGAGCAACTACAGTATGACGTTGGTGTGAATTTGTTGTCCATTTAAAAAACCAAATCAAATGACGATTGTAATCCAAGCTTTTAATTTTCATAGAATGCATAGTGTAAACACTACAGAAGGGCCCTTAACACCACAATGGTGAATAATTAACTTCAAATTATGATCATCATTGGTCTTTGTGGATTAATTCAGAATCCTTTTAAAAAAGCAGCACATTGCATCAGCAAATCCTGGCAGGGCGCCCCCCTTATCTGTAAACTAGCAGTATCTGCTTTGCTTTTTAGCAAAAAAGCTTAAGCAAACAAAAACATGGCAGAGAAACCTTCAAGGAAGCTTTACCAGGTACAGATGGTCAAATATGAGCGTAGCCTTGTCCATCTGGCCCAGAATAAGCAGCATCTCATTGTCAATAAACTCTTTATACTCCCTCAGGTTGCAGCTCATATGTTGTTCCAGCTCATTTCGGATCTACAGAAGAGAAAGGATTTCATTTAATGCTCTCTCCATGGCTGAAGCATTCATGTAAACCACGGCACGAAAACCTCATTACATATACTGTACCTCCTTAGAAGTAATATTCTCCAGGTCCTGGAACATCATTAGGTTTCGGAGTTTGGTTTTGATCATACACTCTGTTCTTTCTCTCTCTGTTGGCCTGGGCATGATATGAAAGAACAGTTAATTTATGCCAAATCATAATGATTCAATCGTCTATTAGGATTATTTTATTTAGCTATGATTAAACTGCACTAATGTAGCAATGAAGATTTATAACATATTTATATTTTTAGTATGCGCTAATATACAACTCACTGATCAGAAAACATGACTGGAGAATCAGGCCGGGTCGTCTCCAGATCTGTCATTGCATTCCACTCATTGATACAGCTCTGCTCTGAGGAGATACAGCTCTCGTAATAGCCCACCCACGTCAGTGCCATTCCTCCTGGAAAATAGTTGTACCTGCGGGACACCTCGCATGCTTTGTGCAACACCTGCAGTGCGGACCTGCAATAGACAGCAAGTCAAACATTGGTTTATCAACAGAAAATAATACAACAACATGCAATTGCAAGAAGGTATGCAATTACTTGTATACTTAAACTTCCAAATTAAATATCACATAATTGAACGTACCACATGGCCTGCACTGACACAGGCTTAAAAACATGTAGTCTTCCTGCTGTGCTCACGCTGAAACCCCTAAGAGAGGAGATGGAGGAGGTTAAGCGTGTTTATTGTGAGCTATATTTTGTGATTATGTAGAAATCTATTAGCTGTCTGCAGGGTGATGCTGCTTTCTCAGTTAGTGGAACAATTTTACACCACAAACCAGTGGAAGATTCTCTCTGTGTCCCCTAGGTCACATGCACAGAGTGTAAACATGTCATTTCATACTGAACCTGTAGAGGTCAATCTCTGTATGCACACAACATTTATAGATTACTTTACAGGTGATTAAACATAAACAGGCTGACAGAGGGCACATCAAGTATATTTCCATGTTTAAGGTATGCTTAAATAATAAATCATAAAATAATAATAGTCATAAAAAACTTTATTTTGATGGTCCATTTAAGTATGAGTAGACCTTTGCTTAATATGTTATTACTGCTCCTTAAACAGACATTTAACTGACTATAAGAAGCAAGTACATGTCAACTTACACTAACCCCAACCTAACAGTCTACATATAATCTCAAGAGAATTAGTTGGCATGTAGATGCAATGTAGCTTAAATTCAACAAACAGACCATCAAAATAAAGTGTGACCAAATAATGCATTGAAACTATCAGATAAGTAAAAATTTAAGGTCTTAGTTCGGCCAAATCTGAAAATTTGGTCGTTTACTTATCCTTTACTCGTTTCTTTCTTCTGTTGAACACAAAAGGAGATAATTTGAGGAAAGCTGGAAACCATTGACTTTCATAGTATTTGTTTCTCCTTCAATGGAAATTAATGGTTACAGATTTCCAGCTTTCTTCAACACATCTTCTTTTGTGTTCAACAAAATAAAGAAACTCATAAAGGTTTGAAACCACTTGTTAGAGAATAAAAAGTGCTTACTTTTACATATTTTTGGGGGAACTATCCTTTTAAAGCAAGTTTGCAATTGATATTAAGTGCAAATATGAGGTTTAAATTATGTAAGTTTTCTAAAAGAGATATGATTTTCTGATTATTGATAAATGACAAGTAAAAATATATCAATAAATACAATTAAATAAAAACTGAAGACAAAAAGTACAGGTGAGAGGAGCTGAAGGAAAGTTGTATCTAAATCCCCGCATCACGGAGCGCCTGCAGTTAAACTCACACCTGTTTATCACAAACACCTTTGTCGATGATTTTTTCCCGCAATTGACAGAAAGAGCAAACATAGAAGCGTTGTCTGATTGACAAGAAGCACCTAATTATGTTCAAAAGAATTTAAGACACCAAATGGGATGAATTTATACCCTATTTCGAAAGTAAAAGATACTCTAATAGGCAGTGTAAACTACACAACATTAAGTGCAGAGTTTGGGTGAGAGGGGGCAGTGTTTTGATGCGATTCGGTTATGTTGTGGCTTTGTGACTGCTAGTGTAGGTTGCTGTGTGGTCAAAATTAAGACAGTTAAAGTAACACGGTTCATTTCAATTGAAATTAATTAAAATGAAACAAAATATTCATCTATTTTGGGTGTTTTTTGAGCGTTTGGGTGGGTTTTGGACAGGTATTGGGATGGAAAAGTTGGCTACATCCGGCAACACTGCACAGTGGCATCAAATCATTGTGGTTCTCAGTGAGATAGTTTCATAAATATTGATTTTATACCTTTTGTAAAACCCTCAAAAAAGCTTTTTTCCCCTTAATCATACTTTAAATTAATTGTAATTTGCTATTAAATTATTCCTATGAGCTCAACTAAAGTCAACACACAAACTGAAGTAGGATTTAACCTTTGTCTTCATGTGAACTTGGATATTTACCCATCTCCATCCAGATGAATCTTGGTATCGCTCCAAAGCGGAAGAGTCATCCCAATGGAGCAACTTTTACTACAACACACAAACATTTCTGTCAATAAAAAATTGTGACACAATATCTGTCGTTAATTCCAAAAGGTACATGGTATTTACCTATCCTTATCCGTGAAGTCCATCCCGAGTAGAATGTTTTCTTCAGTGTCTTGGCGGCCGTTTGTGTAGACAACTACCATGTACCGCACATGGTCCGTCCATCCACTTTCTAACCTAACGACCTGTTTATGAAGACAGAGAACATTGTTGTATGCACACTGAAAGCAGTAGCCATTCCTTCATGATGTTAGATAGTGTGCGTCACTTACTAATTTAATTCTATCTTCAGAGCGGAGGGTGTTTATCATTACTTGTAGATGCTGTGGAAGATCCCCTTTAACAAGGACAAAAAATAACAATGTGAGAATCGGCAATACACCACTGTTTTAAATTAACAATAACATCACACTGTAACAGAGGATCGCTGTCGCCTTGCAGCAAGAAGGTCGCTGGTTCAAGCCTCGGATGAGTTAGTTGGCAATTCTGTGTGGAGTTTGCATATTCTGCCCCTCTTCGCGTGGGTTTCCTCCGGGTGCTCCGGTTACCCCACATTCCAAATACATGTGGTATAGGTGAAAGTATGTAGTAGTATATGTGTATTGTATGAATGAGAGTGTATGGATGTTTCCCAGTGATGGTTTACAGCTGGAAGGGCACCTGCTGCGTAAAACATGTGCTATATAAGTTGGCAGTTCATACCACTGTAGCGACCCCTAATGTAGGGACTAAGCCAAAAAGAAAATGAATGAATGAATGTCACAGAGGATGTCAATATTAACCTTACCGTTGTGGGTTAACACCATTGACACTAAATTCCTTGACGAATAATTAGAAATGGCCAAATTTCCCCCACTAAATTCTCATATTCTTGATGCTGCTCTGTTGCACTCAATTATGCTGTGTTTGTTTTCACAATAGGAATAAAATGTTACATTTTTAGTTTGATCTGCCTCAGCAGTCTATCTGCGCTTGTCCGTGCCAAAATGATTAAGTTGGCCAATCAAATCACAGAAAAGGGCTTTACTGTTCACAGAAACCAAACATCAACTCCAGAAACAGTTCAACAAAAGCAGTTATTCATTTAATATTTCAATATGCAGTGATCCACTTGTAAACTCACTTGTTTGTTTTAATTTATAAAGTTATTAAATAATTGAAGTATTTCATAACCACATTTCACAAGACAGTAACAGTTGATTTTGACCTTATGCGTATGATTAAAGGAATGGTTCAGCCAAAAATATTAATTTGCTTTTAATTTAACAACACTCAGGCAATCCAAGATGCAAGTGACTTTTTTTCTTTAGTACAACATTAAAGCTAAGCAGGGCTGTGCCCAGTTCGTACCAGGAAAGGAGACCACATGGGAAAGCTAGAATGCTGCTGGAAGTGGTGTTAGTGAGGCCAGTAGGGGGCGCTCAACCTGCGGTCTGTGTGGGCCCTAACGCTTCAGTATAGAGAAGGGGACGCTATACTGCTCAAACGTCAAATCAAACTCTCGACTCTGTAGTTGTTAAAAATCCCAGGTTGTCCTTTGAAAAAGAGTAGGGGTTTAACCCCGGCATCCTGGCCAAAATTTGCCCATCAGCCTCTGTCCATCAAGACCTCCAAACCATCCCCATATCATATCTGGCTGCATCACTTTTCTCCTCTCCACCAATCAGCTGGTGTGTGGTGTGAGGTCTGGCACAATATGACAGCCATCGTGTCATCCAGGTGGATGCTGCACATTGGCGGTGGATGAGGAGATTGCAGCCTAATGTGCAGTCCCGTGCTGAGACCGTCCAAAGGGCATGTGCACGATTTTGAAGGGGGGGGGGGGGTCGCGCGTACTGAAGAGCGGTGTTGTCGCGCGCGTTCTGATCAGCTGTGTTGTCGTGCGCATACAGTAAAGGGGGTGGGGGGGGGGGGGGTTGGGGTGGGAATGAGTGCCCGTACACAAGAGCGGTGTTGTCGCGTGCCTACTGAAGGGCGGGACAGAGGGTGTGTCGCGTCGCAGGGGCACTTTTGATCATTTTGAAAGGGCACTTTCTATCCAAGACTAAAATGGGCATGTGCACTGCCCAGGTTGAGCCCTATGTGTGCACGTGCCTGCTAATGTGTAAAGCACTTTAAGTGTCTAGAAAAGCGCTATATAAATATAAGGATTTATTATTATTATTATTATTAAAGAAATTAGCAGAAAATGCTGTGCTTGTAAATAGCTTAATCTGATATTCAGATATGAAATGAAATGTGTTTTTGCCACTTTCACTGTTAAAGCTGTTGCTGGACTTGATTTTTGTGAACAGTAAAGTCCTCCATCTGTGATTGGACTGATCTTAATTTTGTGTTGACTTAATGACACAGTTAGACTGCTGAGGCACACCTTGCCAAAATGTGAGGGTTTATTTTCCAGTTTACTACATATCATTCCCTTATTAATACAATAAAGTAAGGTTTAAGTTGTACAAATGAACATGATTTCTACTCAAAGCAATTGTGAAATATCAATAAACATTAATTTACAAATAACTGTAGTAAATGTTATATATTAATATCTATCTTGAGTAATACATTTTGGCTTAATTTACTTTATATATAAGGGGTCGTCACAGTGGAATAAACCGCCAACTTATCCAGCTTATGTTTTACACATCAGATGCCCTTACAGCTGCAACCCAGTACTGGGAAACACTCATACACTCTCGCATTCATACATACACTACCACCAATTTAGTTTATTCAATTCTCCTATAGCGCATGTGTTTGGACTGTGGGGGAAACCAGAGCACCTGAAGGAAACCCACGCCAACATGGGGACAACATGCAAACTCAACACAGAAATGCCAACTGACCCAACTGGGACTCGAACTGAGCCACCGTTACTTCATATATCTTTTTAATTTTTTTTAAGAACGAAAGGTCCATCCTAAAGAACTAGTCCAGCTCAGTGTTGGAGACATGGTTGTTTCCTTGTGGTTTACCTGCGTTTTTATGATGTGTGGGTGTTCTGGGCTCTTGTGCACTGCTGCCTTGTTGTAAAAACAGAGCTGCCCCTTTTACCATGAAGAAACTTTCACTCAGGCTGAAATGGGCCACACACACACAATTATGCACACACTCCAAAGTCAAGATTAATTATCATTGTTAAAAAGGAGGAATGGATTAAATAAGATGACTAAAAATAGCACCGACCTTAGGTTTGCCTTTCGATCATCTTCACTGCCGACATCCTGAACGATTAAACAGAAACAGAATTACAAAAACAAACCTGGAAGAAAATATTTTGTATGAATTTACATGTATACATCAACTCATCACCATCTACAGCATTAATTTCAGGCTGTTTGGTTAGGATGTATTCTGAAATTCAAGCCCTAAACTAAAGACTTTAAATAGTATGCGCGTTACATTTAATGCTAAACAAAAACAACTGGGATAGATGTGGGGCACATTAAAAGCTGAAAGCCCAAGGGATGTACATTGCTGTGGGTTTATGCTATAGTAAGCTTGCTCGTTAGTGTGCTGTCTCTAAGAAACATGAACAGCAGAATCTTGGGGGAAGATATGACAATATTCAGGGTGCCATGATTGGTCACCAGGCAGAGTATCTATTCAATGACATCATTGCAGTGAGAGTACTGAGAATAGTGAAGATAAGATTCGGTTCCTTCGAACAGTTCGGTTCACAAAATGATTCAACCACCCTATTGGAGCATAACGTCACTGCGTCATCACGTGGCTCTTGTTAAATACTTTAACCCTAACCCAAAAACATATGTAAACACATGACTGTTATTCTCATTACGTTTGATTAAAAAGCCTGTTAACTGTCATTTTATTTGCTCTCGGTATAAAGATTTAGATGAATTAATTTAAACACAATATAGAATCTGCATTTATGTTAAACAATAATAATGATTTGGCGGGGAAGTGTTCGCATGCGTTGAAATGAAATGCTAATATTAAATCTATGTTATGTGTACGGTTTATTGCAGTAAAACGCTTATGATATGTGAAATGTCCGATAATTATTTGTAATATCTAACTTACTATTCGATAAACAGAAACTTCTCTTTAAAACTTAAAATTCTAGATGTCTCTCATCTCTTTACGAATCGCTTGCCCAGTTCGACTCTATGAACGATTCGTTTACGAGAACAGCCGAACCCTCAAGAAGAAGTATCCTATATTATACCAAGAAAGTGCTGTGAAGCATGTTTGTGGAGCGGCTGAACTGTCTGACTGCATTAACAAGGTAGCCTATTTATTACCACTTTAATCCACGACATAAACAAGACGTTACCAAATGTAGGGCACGACAAACATTTCAATTTGAACCGCACCATGTGCATTTTAACCACATAATGTACACAAACACCATTTCAATTGTGTATTGGTATGCTTTGTTTTGTTTGACCATATCAAGTTAATCTTCATCCTCGCGCGCGCGCTCTCTCATTCATTCAAGCCGCCCGAAAACAAGCTCACGCCTAATGTGAGAAGTTCACCGTGCGCCTCTACACGGCGGGCTGAACTCGGTGACTCCTACAGCTGACATCGCATTCGCACATCCTCAGAAAAGAGGAATTACCCGGGAGCAACAGGCCCGGCTAACATTAGCGGTTCAGGCGCTATTTACACATGCATTTCCCCGGCCGGTGTAGTCAGCAGCCTCCTCTCTCTCACTCACCTCCCCCGCGGTGGTGCTGGCTGAGGATGCGGCGCTGGGTGTCGGGGAGCGCTGCAGAGTCACCAGAGCCATGGCTGCGCTGCGGAGCCTTCAGCAAAACCGCACAGGCGATCCGCTCCGGTCCCTTCCCCACAGCACACGCCGAGATCTCCTGTTCCGCGCCCGCCCGCCCGCTCGCCAGCCACGGGGTTAATGCATTCACAGGCGCATTAAATCTATTTAGCGGAGCGATAAACCCATCATCGGCTTTGTCATCCAACTCGGCGGTTCTGCAAATTCTCATTCACGCCGCGACGATGCCGATAAACAGCGGTCTGCGCTCTCTATCTTCCCGGCTGGACCGTTGATTTAGTGGTCAGACATAATGGACCGTGATTCGGGACCGCCGTCAGTGGTTGGTGTAGTTGTGTGATCGTCTGCGTTAGATATGGGCTTGTGGGCCAACCGCGTGAAGGTGACTTGCACTTCTCCCTGACAACAGTGCATCCTATGCAGACTCAACACCCAATCATCCACATACTACTGGAGCCCTGTGATGTAGACTGACTCAAAACCAACGTAATGCTGGATCGCGGGATTTTTCCCCCCTTCCTCCCTGTGACGAAGACAAATTTGTATGGTTCAGCAGTCAAAGATGGAGCTGAGTGTGTAAACCGTGTTTGTGTTGAATCTCTAGTCAAATTATCCATCACAAATAAGCAGGTTTTGTGTGTCTTGGTCCATGTACCCTGCTGGTTAAAGCCTGTAATGTAACAATAATTGCTGACTTTATATTTACAGATATAAATGTTTTTTATGTGTTATTATAATATATATTTATATGTGCAATCAAACATTATGTAGAGCAAGAACGCCCCTCCCCCTGCAGTCAGTCAGTCAGTAAACAACAAAACATGGCAACTTAAGTCTAATCAGTGGCAATTGTGAGGAAACTACACAAAACAATTTAATCTTGAGGAAATATCACATGACAGGACAGAGTAATATTCATATTTATTCTAATGCAGAGCTTCTGGAACTCATTAAATATCATTTTAACATAACAGTTTAACCCTAACACTGTAGTCATTAACACTGTAAATGACGATTGTCATTTATTAGGCAAATAACAAACTGGCCAGTACATTAAACTTACCCCAGTCTCAGAATGTGAGCATTTGAATAATAAAAAATAAATACATAAATGAACATAATGATTATATTGTAAAGCTTCAAGATATTTCTATAGCTTTTCTTGAAAAGAAAAAGTACATTTGAAAATTCAAGGATAACAACCATAGCCAAATAAATATTAATATGGGACGCTTTTGCTGCTTCACAACTTTTTATTGGTCATTTTTTCAATGTAAAACTATTAATTCTTTCCAAATAGTTTCTTAATCATATTGTGAAATTATATATCATATTGTGAAATGTTTCCATACCTGAAGCATCCATAGCCCTGGATTATCACTGTATGTACACCCTTATAGAAAAACCATTTCATATTATTTCCACATGTGATCACATGGCTTTCTCATACTTACAATTTCACAAGTTTATACTGTTAATATTAATTATTTATATTAATAAATAAAAAAAAATATTTTCCCTAAAAGGCCCAGAATAAATTAGTAGAAAGTACATTCTTGTCTATAATTTATTATGGTGATCATCTAATTATGCATGCATGCATGCTATTTTGAAAACTAGATTTTGTTTATCGCGCAGCAATAAACATTGTTACAGGTGCAGATTCATGAATGTATCACTGTATGTTGCACAATTACTTAGATTGGTTATCTCTATATCAAAGGAGAAAACTACATTTGTACTTATTAACCTTAAACAAACACTATAGAATACACACTTGTCACTCGTATACTTTTGAATGGGGAAAAGTGCAAATGTCAAAATGTCGAATGAAGCCCCACCTTCTAGTACAGGAGCCAATCAGCGAAGGGAGGGGCTCGAACCAGACGTGAGTTTCTGCAGATTTTGTGTGATACGAACATTTAGAAATGAAACTAAATAGACAGTTGTTGTTTAATTTAACTGATTATTCGTAATATAACGTGTAATCACAAGCTTGGCAAGTATTTTTGTAGAATTTTATGTTTCCCCGTTCAGACAGAATACCCGAGCATACTGCCCAAAAGGCGTTTCAAAGATGGCTGCCGTGTGAAATGACTTGCCTTAAAGAGACTTTGCTTTAAAGGTTCTCTTAGGTAAATACTATCCTATCTTTCTAATTTGCTAACATTTTACATCAATAACCAACACACTAGATTTGGTTCCTGTATTCGTTTAATAGTGCCAAGGGTATTGTCAGAACTTGGCAAATGTGCCTTTTCCTTTTATGCTAAGGCTTGGATTGATTTGCAAAATCTGCTTAATCTTGACACACTTCTGACTCCTTTAAACACCTTCTGTATAACGTCTTAAAGGATACCTAATTATTTTTTATGATCTGTTTTTTATGAATGCTGATTTTGTAATTTTTTGGGGTTTTCTGTGATTTTTTTTGTGTGAAATTTTGTGCTGCCGTCTTGACCAGGTTTCACTGAAAGAAGAGAGAGTACTGTCTCAATGTCATCTCCTGGCTAAAATAAGGAATTAATAATAATTAAAATATTCCAAAACTGCTCATGAATAGAAAAACTGATAATTTCACGAACACATTTATATTTACAGTATATACAATAAACTGTTCACCATAATCTAACTCAAACGTCAGAATTCAACAAAAATGAGCAGGGATGCCTGATTAGAAGTGAATTCCTGTTGTTATGGTGTGATTTTATCCTCTTAGAAGGGTCTTCAGGCTCAACATTCTGGTAAACGAGTCTCAAACTCTCTCAGTTTGCGTGTGTGTGTGCATTTATGGCAAACTCTTGATGTTTTATAGAGTCAACTACTTCAATGTTGTGTGCTCTTGGCTGATTTATAAAATAAGTTGTCATTACAAAAGTTTTTTTATGGCCATTTGTGCTTTTTCAATAATTAAGTTATATGAAGCACAGCGACACCAAAAAGTAAGTTAAATGAAACAGTTTTGTAGCCTTCCAGTGAAGTAGTGATGTTTAAACATTACTTTCTTTTCTTCTACCAAAAATGAACAAACAAATCCAGAGGGTTATTGTAACAAGAAACAAAAAACTTAATATGGATCAATGAACCTAAGTATTGTAATATGTTGAGTAGTTTTTTTAGAACGGCAAGATCACTTAGTTTTAGTAATCCTGTCATATTTTCAGTTTTCTGTCTGCGTCTGCTTATTCTCCATGTGCTGCGTTTCTGGATGATTCGGCAGGCTCAGAGTCGTGCGTTTTTTCTGTGTGTTTTTGTTCCATGGAGCTCTGTGTTGATTCCTGTAGGCTCCGACCTTCTGTTTCCATGGGTAAAGCCCAGCATGCTGCTGTGCCCAGCAAGCCAAATATTAAATACACAGACAGAGTCAGGTATACCGATGACTTCAGAAGGACCTGAAGGGGGACACACACAAACACCACACAGCAAAGCATCAAAACATGTTCAATACACTTGATCGTCTTAGGGAACTGGAAGACGACTGTACCTGAGCGATAAATGGTGTGACGAGAGCTCCAACACGAGACATCCCGCTGCTTGTACCAATGCCAATTGCCCGGGTCGCTGTAGGGAAAACCTGAGGAGGCCAAGACAAGAGAAAAAAAAGACATTTAAAAAGAATTCTGCTGGGATTTACTGAAGTACAATAAGCTGCTTTGTGATGAAGCCTCACCTCAGGTGTATAAACATATGCAATCTGCCAGCCTGCATTGATGCTGGTTCGAGCAATGAAAATAAAGACTGTGAGAACTATTCTGGAAATAGTCAAGAGATAAACATGTTGTCATTTTCAGTCACGTCACAAATATTTAGCTTTAAATTCGTGCCTTTTCTTTGCATGCAACATTGACGTTACAGAACAGAATAGCTCTTTCCACATTATTTAAAAAAATAAATATAAATATAATATAAAAAATATATAAATATATTATCGCCATTCATTTCAACTTCACATCCTTTGGATTTTCTCTGCAAATGTTTCCAGAGTTATTAACATAAACAACAGTCTAGACAACCTATGAAGTTGGGGAAAATCTCTTTTTTTGTCTTTAAATTTTGCACAGTAACAAGATGTTTTTGCATTGGCTGCAATAGAAATAGAGATTAATTCATGAATAATCACACTGTGAATACAGTATTTATACACTGTAAAAAGTGATTAGTTCACACAAAAAATAAACTTGATGCCTTATAATTATTAAGTATATTAAGTGCATATTTATAAAATAGTCCAAGTTTTAATGTATTTACTTAGATTTTCTAAGTAAAGTAAACTTGTCACTTTTAAAGGAATAGTTCCTTTTTACCTTTTTACCTAAAATTACCTTTTAATTTACTCACCCTCAAGACGTCTTTGATGTATATGACATTACTTTCGGACTAATACAACAATTATCGGCTCTTCAGTATAATGGTGTTGGGTTGAGGCTTTTATTTTGAAGCTTTCAAAAAGCACATAGACCAGTATTCTCAAACTCAATTCTTGGACGGCCACAGGTCTGCACAGTTTAGCTTCAACCACTTCTAGCTCAAGTCTCTAGTAGCCTTGAACACCTTGATTAGTCAGATCAGCTTTGTTTAATTAGGGTTGGAGCAAAACCGCAGAGCTGTGGCCCTCCAGGAATCCAGTTTGAGACCTATCACATGGACCCTCTCACAAGACGGTTATGAATGACACATTTAATGATCATCAGCATCTTAAATCATTAAAAGCTTTTAATATTTAGATAAAACACATTTACAAATCCATTTTATTATATAATCTTTACATCAAATTACAAAAAAAAAGCCAAAACAAAATATTTATGCGAGGCGTTTCCAATGCAGTGTCTATGGATGGGACAGTAAATTTGATCTTGTTATCTCTTCTGCCTGCGGTTATCTTAAGCCATTTTCCCCCTGTGTCTTCATAACACTGTTGTTCAGTTTTCACCGCCAGGGGTTAACACATGTCTTATGATATGAAGCAGATCAATGTGTTTTTTAACAATAATATTTTTATTTTCAAATCATAAACTCCTATCACTGACTTCCATTGGCTGCTGAATGCACGTTATATGTTTGTGGAATTGTAAAAGCAATATATAACATTATACAGTGTTATATAAAATATAATTTTGTAATGTTACATAAAAAACTGTTTTCCAGTACTCGGTTGCAGCTGAAAGAGCATCCACTGTCTAAAACATATGCTGGTGGTTGGTGGTTCATTCCACTGTGGTGATCCCTGATGAAAAAACATTGTGCATTTATGAAGTGTATTTCATACAGGTGAGTGGGCTTGACAAACCACCTGTAGAAACACACACTCTCTCTCTCTAAAAAAAAAAAAAACACTCCCTCTCTACTCTAGAACTAAATTGCTGAATTCCTCCTTTTGTAAGCCACTTTGAACAGAAGTGTCTGCTAAATGAGTAGATAAATGTAAATGCATTGTACAGTAATGCCAAGCCAACTAGTTTTCTTGCTTATCATCATGTTTTTTGGTAAACAAACCATGTGGCAAGTAGTTCCTGCGAGATGTTTATTCCCAGAGTTTCAGCTTTGAATGCGTCTTACTTTATGCATAATAAATCGTATACATCAGTTGCAAAAAACATGCATTCGGCCACCACAAGAACTCAGTTGTTGAAGTTAATAATTTAGGAAATATGAAATAATTCTGGATAAGATATGCATTAACACCCTGGCAGCGTATAGGTTAGCTTGATGAAAAGTAAAAGCCACTATCCAACGGCAAAATACAGCATGGAGGAGCCAGGATAAAATATAAAACCACACCGACTGTGTTTGTCCGACAAAAAAAAATCTTATACAAATTTTATGGTTTAAGGGTGAACTATTAACTAAATAAGGCAGCATGTTTACTAAAGTAAAGTAACTAATCTCTTTTTACAGTGAGATATTTATTATCTTTAATGAACGTACCTGTGTGTGCAGGCGTATAGTGGTAAAATACACACAGTGAACAGTGAAAAACAAATCACCATGCTTTTTCTCCGGCTAATTCGATTAACCATCCATAGTGCTACCAGAAGACCTATTCTGACATCAAGACACAAGTTAGTTTAAAGCTTGTACGTCTGCATTTATATTTGCAAGAACATGTGAGAGGAGAGAATATCCGAGAGTCACGTCACCTGGAAATTCAGCAAAGGTGGTCCATAGGAGGTCCAAATAATCATCTATAGTCAGATGTTGGCACATCAAACTGCACTGATGCTCTATGTTTGAGTTTTCAGTGACTGAAATAAGACATTTTGACATTGATGTTCACAATATACACACTTGCCTAGTGTTTGAAATGGTTGTGAAAATGGAATTAAGATTATTAAAATTATAAGAACACAGTAAAAATTTTTATATATAAAAATTAAAAGTTGTCTGTTTTTTTGTCATTTATTTAATTTTTCCATTTATTTAAGCTTTTGAATTGCATTATATAATCTTGATCTTTGCTTCAACAGCTTTCGATGTTGAACATTTTGAAAAAAAGTGACTTTTATTGACATTAATGAATAGTTTGAAGTGATACAGTTGTAGTCAGAATTATTAGCCATCCTTTGATTTTTTATTTCTTTTAAAAATTTTTTTAGATAATATAATTTACAGAGCAAGGAAATTTTCACAGTATGTCTGATAATATATTTTTCTTCTGGAAAAAGTTTTATTTGTTTTATTTTGGCTAGAATAAAAGCAGTTTTCGTTTTTTTAATAAACATTCATTCATTTATTTTCTTGTTGGCTTAGTCCCTTTATTTATTTAAGCTATTTTTTTTTCCGATCGTCTGCTGAACAAACCATCGATATTCACCTTATTCATGAGCGGGTGCAGCCATTTGAATCTTTTTGGCTCGAGACTTGCAGTCTCATTCACTTCCATTCATTTTTAGACGTTAAAAACAGCTTGTTCTGCTGCTTGATGTTGCAAACTGATATTTTCTTCCTATATTATTCTACTTTGTCTGTACAGTCATGAACACACTTGTTTGTAGAACAAGTAGTTTGACTGTAAACCTTACTCCTCTGACCTCTTTGTACAAAAAAGTGTAAAAATTTTTATTTTATTAATTTTACTTTTTAACAATAAAAAGCTATAAAATGAAAAAGAAAAAATCTATTAACAATAATGTTTCTAGAAATACATTAAATGCAGCACAATACTGCTAAGAAGTAAGGTTGCATGATATTTGAAAAATCTGATATGGCGCTATTTTATTTTTCTGTGATAAATATTGCGATATGAATACAGTTCTACAAGACAGAATAGCAGTATTTGAGGAGTCTAACAGTATTTCATCACAATGCAAAAAATGCTTTTCTTATTTGCTTTGTCTTGTTTATAGTCCTAATATCTAATATCTTGTTGCATATAAAGATAAACTTCATATAAATAGAGTAATCAAATACAATTCTTTAGCTCTTGGTCATAATTATAAATAATAATGATAACAATAATAATATTTCACAAAATTTCAAATCTCATTGTCTTATTGAAAAAACCCTGCGTTAATTACACACAAAAACCTTTTAGTTAAAGTCTTGTTTTAGCACATTTCATGATGAGCTTAGCCACAAAAAGCGCTTACACACCACTCACCACCACATGCAGATCCTGCCTGAAACAGCTCAGTGGTCAGCAGCACAAGACCATAATATAAAAAAGCACTGAAAAACCTGCCCATGGAAACAAGTAAGTGGTCAGTCATGTTTTCCCAAGATTAATATGAAACTATTTGAAATCTTTTTCAAATGAATCTGCATACCAGATACACCAAACCAAAAGCGTCGTCCTGCGGTATTCTGGAATAAACAGATCTTTAATTCTCCCACGGTCAGTCTAGAACACATAAACACACATGTTGCTCTTGTGACACTACAGGCAAAATCAGTTTTTCATTAAGTTTTTTTTTTTTTTTTTATTAAGTAAAATGTCTTAAATACATACGGTTTAAGTTTTTTTTTGTCAATGTCAATTTTTTTCATACAGCATTATCAAACACATTGACATGTTGACCAGTGTGCTGCACAATACACATCACAACAAAGAAAAACATAAAATACTAGCTTTAATAATAAATTTTTTACATTTTAATAGATAAAATGCCACACCAAAGAGATTTCAAGCTAGATTCAAAAGCAGACAGAGATGAAACAGATCTAATACAGAGAGGCAGAGCATTCCACAACCGATGACCAGCAGTTGCGAAAGCACGGTCACCCCTACATTTCAGCCTCGACTCAGGGACATAATCTCTGGTTAGATGACCTAAGAGACCGACCAGCCTGATGCTCAATCAACATATCTGACAGATAAGAAGGTGCCAGATCATTTAGAGATTTAAAAACCAAGAGAAGAATTTTAAAAGTGACTCGATAGTGCACAGGCAACCAGTGCAAGGAGCGTAAAACTAGTGTAATTATGTTTTTTGGTACTGTTTAAAAGCCTTGCAGCAGCATTTTGAACTAATTGTAAACTAATTTTGACACACTTATTAGCAATTTGTGCCTGTAGATTTCAATTACAATAAAAGATTGTTTTTCTTCTGCAATGAGCAATAAATTTCTCATTGAAACTGTTATATAAAGTACATTTTCTGAATATTAATTCCCATACACACTGCAAATAAAATAAATGCTTTTCTTGTTTTTGGTTTGGAAAAAATATTATTTTACTTGCCTCACTGCAGATAATTAAGTTGTTTTAAGGGGGGGAAACATACAATTTCAAAACTCAAAGTCAAAAAAATTTATTTCAAAATTATTTGTGTTAATAAAAACTTGTCTAGAAAATGCTTCTTGATTTAAGAGCTTTTAAATATATATACTAAAAAATTTTTTTTTTGCAGTGCAGAATTTGCCTGATTATATGCAATATTTTATTCAACAGAAAGTCAGGGATATTTATTTATTTTCTGTCTGTTTGCAATATTGTGAAGTGATAAAAATAATACCCAAACCCAATTTTAATTTGTAAAAACCTTTGAGTGCAATCTTGAACCTAACATCATCCAAAGTTCAGATTTTTTTTTGTGTAACTGTATGCAAATTAGCACACATCTTATGAAATAATGCCCTATTTACATATGTAAACAAAACATTTAGAAAAAACTTGCAATTCTTAACTGGGGAAGCATGCTTGGTCAAAATAAGTTTTATTTTGCCTCAAAAATTAGAATTTCTTTCATAAAATTTGAAATAAAAGATGTCATTGTAGTGTTAAATACCTGTGTGTTTGCTATGAGTCTTCCCGCAGGCACTGAGCTCTTATTATCTGCTGCGATGCGTATCAGAGTGTTCAGAGCCTTGTCGCTTCGCCCCCTCAATACATCAAATCTAGCACTCTCTGGTAACCACTACACAATATGCAAAATGTAGAATTAATACAGTTATATGAGTTTCAGACACTTTAAAGGGGACCTATTATGCAAAAATCACTTTCATAAGGGATTAAAACACAATTATTTGGCAACAGTGTGTGATCATAGCCAGTCCCGAACGATAAAAATGAATTAATAATATTTTTTATAGTCACACTTGATTAAAAAGTCTGCGGAAACACTTTGATTGACATTTTGCCTTTCTACATGTCATCACAGTGAGAAAGTCCCACCCATTAGTGATAATCTCTCTCATTAGGATAAACAGCCCTGAGTAAGATGAAGCTGTCAGCCATTAGAGTTTTTACTTTTTACTGAAGATAATGTCAGCGACAAAGAGGCACTAGGATTCAAAAATGCACACTGTACTCTCCGAAAACCTTCTGCTGAGGCGCTTCTTTTCACATTTTCAGTTTTTCACACAGATAACGATGGTCCTGTTTTGAACCTACCACTATGCTGACACATATTGATTTGTAGCTCCACTCTTTTTTTAAAAAGAGCAAAATCTCTTTAAAGTGTTTAATTTAAATTTAAAGTGGCTGTCACCAAACTACCACAATTTGGATCAAAAACTAAAAATGTCAGTTTTAAAGAGTTATAAACAATAATTTGTGGTGTATTTTGTGCTGAAACTGCACATTTACACTCTAGGAACATCGAAGACTTATTTTACATCTTGTAAAAAGCAGCATAATAGGTCTCCTTTAAGGTAAAAGCCTTGTCAGTAGTATTGTTACAGCCATACATACACAGCAGGAGGCAGCAAACACAAGCAGAGGAAGGTTAGTGAAAGCCAGCAGCCATTTCCAGCCTAATGTGGGCATGACCAGTATAGCCAGAACCACCTCAAACACAGCGCCCACAGCCCAGAACACCTAGTAGAACACAACAGACACATTTATTGTTATAAGTTATCTCCTGTTTTTATATATATATATATATATATAAAGCTGCTTTGACATAATTTACATTGCATAAAGGGCTATGCAAATAAAGGCTGTTTAGCAATTATTTAACAAAAATGCTATTATTAATGATTTAAGTGCATGTAAGGATGGTGATGGTGATCTATTAAAAATGTATGTTCAGGTTAATTTATAAATAACAACCTACAATTTCTGTTTTCAGTCAGATTCAGCATTAATCAGCTAAGTTAATTTAGTGTTGTAAAATAATCAGTTGTCGAAATTACCGCTAATAGTACTATGGCCGGCCCTCTGGATTTCACTGGGAGGAATTCAGTATATAATGTCACTCTGTAAAGGAAATAAAGAACAAATAATATGAAAGAATGCACTTAAAGTCAACTGAAATAGAAAGAAATAAGACAAATATTAGAGTTTACATGACCACAAAACCAGTCATACGTGTCATTTTTCCACAATTGGGATTTATAAATTATCTGAAATCTGAATAAATAAGCTTATGAGCAGCAAATACGCAGAAAAAATCTTGGTTGTCCAAAGTTGTTCCAGTAAAGTTTTGAAAAAGTTTTAAAGGAAATTTACAAAATATCTTCTTTGGTTACCCCTTTACCGGGTGAAAAACCATGTATGGTAACCTTAAGCGTCATTGATTACAATATATGCAGGTCCGTAGCCAGCCCTGGTGTAAGGTGTGGTTCTTTTTTCTAAAAAATGTGGAACATTTTGAAGTTTATTTGCCTTATTTTCTATTTAATTACGAAATGTAAATACTGCATTTTAGTGACATTTTAAGCACTATTTTTTAGCTGGATAGCTTGTCGGATGGTCATCATAAGTTTCATAACCACACTTTTTAATGTGCAAAAATATTTCCTGATGAATATTACATGAATAAATACTTATTTTTAATACACAAATTTATTACATCATATATCATTGGAAAAAAAAAAGAAAATCTGGTAAAGTTTTAAATTAAAAACTGTAGTCTATTGTCATTTACAATGGAAATAACAAAGACCACATTCAAATTCAACAGAATTTTGCAATTTGAATGAAAACAAAATGTAAACATTTTTCTAGTTTCTCTTGTCAAAAAGTACATATGATTGAAAATTCATGGATAACAACAGTCAGATTAGTATTTAAATTCATTTTTTAAATGGGTCATTTTTGGTGCTTCACGACTTTTTATTGGTCAATTTTTGTTTGAAGAATAAGGTCCAAGATTTACAATAAAAATTACTTGTGAAATACTTTCCCTATTTATAAACAGTACAGTCGTGAGAAATGACTTCAATTACATCTGATTGTATGTTTTCTTGCACAGCTGGATGTTGGAAAAATAATAGTTAGCATTGGCTAAAACTGATTAGCTGAACTCCCACCAAAGCGATTGCCAACAGAGAATTTGTCTTAGCCTTTTTCAGTGGGTGATTTTCACATTTTATGATGGTGCAGCAGTCAAAATAATAAAAATGAGCTCATCTATGGGACAAATTCGGGACCTTTGTCATTGAGGGGTGGGTCTTTCGAACCACCCGAATCCCCCCTGGCTACGGGCCTGACATGTGTGTGTTTTTTGTCATTAAATGTCAAAAGTCCTGTAATAAGTAACACTCTAGGGTTTTTTTAATGAGCATTTCCGAGTGAGTGTTAATATTGTAATAATGTTTGTTATAAAAGAAAAATCAGCAATTTTGACCTATATAATATTTGCAATTGCATGCAACATACTGTAAGACTACTTTTGTGGTTTAGAGTCACACATTGTTTTAATATTAACAGAATCATATAACATGTGTCAAGGCAATACTTAAAACAGCTTAATATCTACAAGACTAAGCTAAGGTATAAATGGAAAGACTCACGACTGAGGGGCTCCTCCTAGGCCAAATCCCACAAGGCCTTGCAACACCAACATCCAGCCGTAAACAGGCGCAAACGCACTGAGTAACCCAAAGTAAAGTGTCCACAGCATGCACATTGTTAAACACTGACAGAGAAAACAGTGAGGCAACAATGACTTTCTTTTGAAGTTCTTATAGTATTCATTTACTCAGTTCACATCTGCTAGATTTACCACATACCACTTTTCGGCCATACTTGTCTGAAATGTTTCCCCAAAACGTGGAACTGAGCATCATCCCAACGAACACTACCTAAAAAGATATCCAATTAAAGTGTTCCAATTAAAGGTATATACTGTAGCTCACCTAAAAAAATGAAACCATAACATTCTTCGTTCATTTACTCTTTACTCCAAACCCATTTGATTTTGCTTTTCAAATAATAACACAAAATAACAATAATAATATATTTAATGATAATATATTTAATATATATAATGATAATATATTTTTTGTCTTTTCATTGAAAGTCTATTATTTACACAAAACACTGATGCTTTAAAACATTCACAAAGAGATACATCCTTATGTGAATCAAGTAGTTTTTTTTCCCTAAATGTTAAGAAATATGATGATAAACAAACAAGCAAAAATAGTTTTTTTTATACATGCACATTGAACATGAGACACGTGAACATACAGAAATAAACAGAAATTTCTCAAATATAATTTAAAATATCTTCATTTGTGTTCTGAAGAGGATCTAATTTCTTATGGCTTTGGAATGGCTACATAAATAATCACTGAGCATTTGGAATTCAAAATATTAAATATGATAAAAGAGCCTAATTTTAACCTTAAAAAATCAATATGTGACCCTGGCCAACTTAAGTTGCATGGGTATATTTTTAGTAATTTACCAATTTTCTATTGTTTTATGTCAAAAATCTAGAATAGATTCTTTGGAATATTAGGTAAGTTATTTACAGATGTATTTACAGCATTTGTCCATTAGTAATATGCTAAAGTCTTCATTTGGGCAACCTTAAAGGTGATTTTCTCCATTTTTTGATTTTTCTGAACTCTCTGGTTCCAAATGTTCAAACAAACGAATCATAACCAAATATTATTCAATTCTAACAATCTATGCATAAATGGAGATCATATTTATTCAGATTTCTAAAATGTTACACTTATGTCCAGGGTGACTTATAAAATATTTTTAAACCCAATACTGTGTCATATTTTTTAAATAAAATGTAGATATTTAAAGGGATAGTTCACCAGAATGATTAGACAAATTATTTACTTAACCTCAAGTGTTCCCAAACCCTTATGAGCTTCTGTTGAACCCAAATGAAGATACTTTGAAGAAAGCTGGATGGAAACCTATAACCATTTACTTCCGAAATAAAGAATACTTTGGAAGTCATTGATTGCAGTTTTTCAGCTTTCTTCAAACTATCTTGTTTATCAAAAATAAAGAAAATGTATTAGTTTTGAAACTAAGCGTGACTGAATTATGACAGAATTAGCATTTTTTGGGGAGAACTGTTCCTTTAACAGTGTTAATGCGCATCAGTGAATGAACTGACCACTACTATGAAAGCCACTTTCCAGCTCAGAAGCCTCCATTCACAGTGCAGTTGAGGAGAAAGAACACTTAGGAGCACCATTTCCATAGCATCCACCATCTTTACACACACAAGAGGTTTTGGAACGATCAGATAAAAAGCTTTAAGTAAATGGATTGAACTCAACAAACTGAAGTTTGAAATTATTCATTTTTTCCTCACCCATGCGATTCCAGTTAACATAGTGAGCTTCCACTGAAATCTTCCAAAACCAATAGCCTCAACTGCTTCCTCAACAGTGAAGATTTCTGAGGACAAACACATATCTCATGAAAAGATATTGCTTATACTTCAAAAAAAAAAAAAACAAAAAAAAAAAAAAACAGATACACCTTTTTTTTAGCTGTTTTCTCAAAGGAACACTCATCTTTTTGTGAAAATAGACTTCTAGAGTTAAACCATCTGGGTCTAGCGTGATCTTAGCTTAGCATAGATCATTGAATCGAATTAGACCATTAGCAAAGCATCTCACTTAAAAATAACCAAGAGATCATTTTCCTTTTTACAGCTTGACTCTTATGCAGTTAGATTGTGTACTGTTAAAAATTAAAAGCACTGTGTATTATTATTGAGCCTGCTGAGCGCTGGTATGGTACCAAATGAAAGCATAATTCCTAGGCATATTAAACAGGAAAATAGGTCATTTTTGGTCAACATTTTACTTCTGTCCTAGTACATAATGTAACTACAGAAAAACCATGTTTTAAAATGGAAAATTGTCTAAACTATTTGGTAACCTTTGTGCAAGATGCTAATAATAACCTAATCCAATTCCATGATCTTTGTTAAGTTACGCAAAAAGTTCACCCACCAGACCTGGAGATCGACTGAATGCAATCAAAATGGAAAAACTCAACAGCTGAAAAACTCTCAACTCCTTTAAGACTGAGCCGCGAACTAATATTTAGGCTTTAGGTTTCAGGCTTGGGTTTAAACTTATGGAACGGAGAAAGGTTTTGACCTGTCCATTTATCCTCAAATATAAAAGTCTAATAGAGATGCCAACCTGAGTTTCCAGAGCCTCTGGTCTTTCTGTCTCCCAAATCCTCTTGCTCCAGATTAACACAAGCTCCTTCATCGTGAGGCTCATTATTTTCAGATTTAAGGATGCTTTTGTCATTTTTCTGAAATTTCTCAAGACTAAACAAAAATGTAGATTTTAGTATGTTTTTCAAAACACTATGCAAAATCTGATACAATCTTTTTTACTTAATATTGAGTAACTATTGTGGCCTTTTTAAAAACTATACAGCAATTTAATACAGTAAATTTTCAGGCCACGATTTTTATTTTTTAGCCAATGAAAATCTCTATGAAACAGTGAAAAAAATGAAAGGACAGATTTGAATCAGCATTACCTGACGTCTTTCCAGCGATTATAAGCCACTTGCACTGATCTTGTCAACCTACTCATTTCACCTGGTTTTAACGAAATACAACCAAGTAGGACATGCTCCTGGATAAACATCTGTGTTGATCCTGGAACAACATTCCAATCAGCCAATCAGACTTAGTTATGAATACAGTTTCAAATATGGGAATGATGTTCCAGAATCAACATAAATTTTAATTTAAGATTGCTCTGGGCCAAATCGCTTCTAGAACCTTGAACAGGTTTGACCAGTGTGCCACTCTTACATCAACTCTTCAGACTTGGTAAACTAAGTGAGGAGGTTTGCCTCAAGCACTCCTTCCTTTCTTGAGCAAATAACCCACATCACTGCATCATATTTCCTACAAACACCGCTAACAGGAACTGATCCAGATCAAAGTGATCTGTGAGATTCTTTGATCCAGTAGAAATTTTGTTACATATATAGTATGTATTACAGTAAGTATTATTGTATGTTACATTTGAAATGAAATCAAAATGTACTTTTCTTTTTTAATGTACAGGGCAGTGGAGATTACAAACAGGAAAGTGAGGGGAGCGGAGAGAGGTAAAGGACTGGCAAAGGACTAAGCTGGGAATCGAACTCAGGTCACCGTGAACACCTTGGTGCCATGTGTCGACCCACTAACCACTAGGCTTTTGGCACTGACCTTATTTTTTCTATGCATATAGTCGAGCTTGTTTTAAAGGATGTATCTGAAATTTTATCAAATATCATAATCTTTCCTCCTCACAAACTACTTTTCCCCACTACTTTTCTTTCCTTCTGGGCTTTTAGGAGGGGTTATCAGTGAGGGTCTCGTTTCTGCTCTGCCTTCATCCATTCATCAGTCTTCTTTCAGCCACAGCCATATCACCCTGCATCCCAAGAACGGTTACTCACTGGAGCTAAGTAGGCTGAGCCTGGTCAGTACCAGGATAGGAGACCAGATGAGAAAATTAGGTTGCTGTTGAAAGTGATGTTAGTGAGGCCAGCAGGGGGCACTCAACCTGTGGTCTGTGTGAGTCCTAATGCCCAAGTAAAAGTGAAGGGGATACTTTACTGTCAGTGGGTGCCGTCTTTCGGATGAGCCCGATTCGAAAGGTCCTGATTCTGTGTGGTCATTAGAAATCCTATAGCACTTCTCGTAGGAAGTAAGGGTGTAGCTCCAGTGTCCTGGCCAAATGCCCTCTCTGCCCTTAACCATCATGGCCTCCCAATTATCCCCATCCACTGAATTGGCTCTATTACTGTCTCTCCACTCCACCAATAGCTGGTGTGTGGTGAGTAAACTGACACTGTTGTCCTGTGGCTGCCGTCGCATCATCCATGTGGATGCTACATACTGGTGGTGGTGCGGAAAGACCCCCCGCCATGCTTTGGGTGTATGGCCATACACAATAAATGCGGTATATTAGATATTTGCAATTCTCTGTTCGGAGGGTTACCAGCTAATTCTCTTAAGATTTTACAATACATCCAAAATTCTGCTGCATGTGTGTTGACGCATACATCGTCTCGGTCTCACGTCACTCCTACCTCCAACAGCTTCACTGGCTGCCCGTCAAGTCTCGTATTGATTTAATGACATTGATCTTAACATGTAAAGCGGTTCATGGTTCTGCTCCAGGTTACATTTGTGACCTGTTATCCATTTCTTCTGCCTCTCACTGTCTAAGCTCTGCCTTTGGTCCTACACTGTTTCAGCCTTGCTTCAAACTAAGCACAATGGGAGGTAGGGCGTCCTCTTTCCATGCTACCAAACTATGGAATGCTTTTCCTACTAACATTAGGAATACTGGTTCAGTGGATGGTTTTAAAAAGCTACTTAAAACTCATTTGCTTAGGACTGTTTTTAATTTGTGATATCTTTTATTCTTACTGTGTTTTTTACTGTATTTCGTTATTGTTTTACTGTGCTTTGTTGTTTTTACTTTCTTGTCAGGACTTTGGGTTTTAGAAAAAGGTGTTATAAATAAAATATAATATTAGTATTATTATTTAAGTACACACATTACATGACATTACATTTCTTTCATTTTGTTAGCAACCCCCCACTTCCAGTTGGTTCTCAAAGAATGAAATTGTGCACAGTCCTACATTTTTTCTCATTTTAGGACCATTTCTAGTGGATGTACTTGACAATAGAGGAAAAAAGGACTTCCATTTTAACTTCCATTTCATGGCAGTTTTTAAGTCACACTGATCATCAACTCACTAACAGAAAGATCCATGAACCGATCCTTGTGTGTCAAATAAAAGAGACGTGCAAAATGTGTAGGGCGGGAGGGCCCGAGGAGTGGAATTGGAAACCACTGGTATAAACTTACAGGATTTTAGTGAAGGCATCCGCATTCTCTGTTGAACTAGGTAATGAGGAACTTGCTTTGTTTGTCTATTAGTTTTATTAAAACAAATTTAATAATAAAAAAATCTATCTATCCATCCATCCATCCATCCATCTATCAAAGTCATCTGAGTAATTTATTTATTTGTTTCATTTTTATTGTTAAGACATAAAATACTGTTAGGGTTGTTGAACATTTGAAGTTCTAAAGCAGCAGTTTTCTTGATAAAGACATGATAGAGCCATTAGAAACTGATTTGGAAATGACCTTATTTTAATATAGTCAGTTGTGAACTGAGGTGGGCCGGTCTGAGGCTTGAAACTCCAGGGCTAAAAAGGAGTCCCACTCCGGCCCTGCTCAGAATTCTCATTTTTAGATGAAATGATTCTTTTCATTAAATTTTTTTTAACTAATAAAATGTTTATACAGTAAATATCACCAGATTTTTCATGGCTCTGCAAGGTTAACAGTTACAGTCATGGTTTAGAAAGCACACTGTAGGTTTAAAGTTTCACTTTCAGTTTTGCAAATGAAGAGTGGATGTGAATTTGCATGACATGGCAGAATAACGGTGAAGCAGCAGTTTTTGTGAAGGGGTCTCTGAGAAACAACAACACGCTCATTCAGAGCTTGTTTATGAACATGTCAGAAGGTAGGTTAAGCATTAATAAATTCGAAAAAAACTGCATATATCTAACTATTTAGGTAATGTAAAGAAAACGTTTATCCAAAAAATCTCTTGTATTTCCTGGTCCTTTACCGTGTTGTACACCTAATGCATTGGTAATACTTTCAATTCATTTCAAAAACACTGCCACACAGGTGCAAGCTATTCTGATCATTTCTTGTTTTGATTCATTATGATGGACCCTCTAAAGAGCAAGCTAGTGGTGAGAGCATGCAGCTCAGTGAGGAGCAGCTGTGTCAGATAGAGAAGAACAGACGTGCTGCACTGCAAAGACTGGCCAGCCGAAACGTACCTGTGCCTGTTGGAGAAAGCTGGAGAAGACACATTGGGACTGAATTTGCAAAACCATATTTTACAAAAGTAAGTGATGCTACTCAGTATGAGACTTTAGCAAAATAGCAATGAGCAGGGGAAGTTAGAGAACAAGACTTTAACCTGTTGGTTCTTGTTTTTACAGCTCATGTCTTTTGTTACAATTGAGAGGAAATGTTCTACTGTTTATCCCAGCCTCGAGCAGGTGTTTTATTGGACAACTTTGTGCGCAATTGAAGATGTAAGCTCCCTAATGTGTGTAAAAGTATAGGTGGTTTTCTGTACACACTACTGATTGTATACCTGTACATACCTTGTCAATTTGTATATATGCATTCACTATTTACATCTACTTTTAAATGTATTTATTATCTGTTTTTTGTCCTGTCTCTTTCATTCTGTTGCACTAGAAGCTTTTTGTTGTGATAACAAATTTCTTGAATGTGCGAACACCTGGCAACAAAGCCCTTTCTGATTCTGATTGTATTTTGGTTGACAGGTAAAAGTTGTTATTCTCGGGCAAGACCCCTATCATCATCCAGGACAGGCCCATGGTTTGGCCTTCAGTGTGCTGAGGCCAAAATCACCTCCTCCCAGGTGCCACATGTGATCAGCTGAGCAAATGCTTATTTTCCTATCATCTACACACACAGAAAATAGATCAGACCACACAGTACATTTATAAATGTTCTGTTTTGTTTATTGCAGTTTGGAAAACATATTTATGGAGCTACAAGAAGACATTGATGGATTCCAGCACCCAGGACATGGAGACCTCACAGAATGGGGTAAACAAGGTAATCTAAAAACATTTTTTAAATATCTGGTACCAGTCAGATTTATTTATTTATAATAGAATGCAAAATGTGCTCAGTAAACTGATCAAAATTGATTAGATCTGATTTCTAAATTATCATGTTACATTGAAGATTGTAGCAATGGCTTTTAAAGTTTCAGCTTTACAAAATTACACACACACACACACACACACACACACACACACACACACACACACACACACACACACACACACACACACACACACACACATATATATATAAATATATATATATATATATATATATATATATATATATATATATATATATATATACACTATAGATTTGAAATATTTTTACATAAGAAATTAGTTATTTATGAATTGTTACAACGTTTTCCAACATTACCTTTCCTTTTTGTCATTGAAAAATGCTTACCAAGGAGACATTTAAATGGTAGTGTACAGTATGCCCTTTTGTGTTTCACTGAGAACTATTTTTTTACACATTTGTAATATTATCAAACTTTAGAACAGTAGTGTGTGAGCCTAAATGACTAAGACATCAAGAATTACAAGTGTTATTATAATCTAAGTTTTCTTGAAGGGTTAGTTTACCCAAAAATGAAAATGATGTTATTATTAATTCTCATGTTGTTCCAAATCCCTGATATTCTAAATTAAATATGAAAGCTCCCTCATGCTCCATAGACAACAACGCTCGTGACTCTTTCAACAAAAGTCCAAACACTAAAATACATCACCACAGTAGATGCTTTCAGTGGATCGATTGAAATATTTTCATATTATTTTGAAATATATTTGTCTTTTCTCAATATATATTTTTATATGAAATATTTTCATTATATTTTTAAAAGACTTTTGTGCGCACATAAAACAAAAATAATTATTCAGTATAGGGTCAGTATAGGGTACATACTCAGGACAGCGATTCGCTCTTTATGCATATTGCACCTGGTGGCTCTCTTGACATAGCTCAGATGCCCTGTGCTTTGTTTCAAACAGAGGAAGTCACACGCAAACATCTTGGTTATACATCAGTGCACAGCACTTTCGTGAATGCACACCCTATACCAAGGGTGCCCAGACTTTTCGGTATAAAGGGACAAAAAACCAAATATCATTGATAGCCATGGTCTGAAGGAGCAGCTTTTTCCCCAGAGCTGTAGCCTGTGCCACCCCTCCTCTTTGTACACATTAACAGTCACCCCCCTCCCTCCCTCCCTCACTCCCCATCTTCCTGATGTTCTGCTGCTAATGCACAAAGACACTTTATGGATATTCATGTTTGCACTCATTTTCCACAATGTAAATACTGTGACTTATTACATTTAGTATATTTTATCTTACATCTTATATTTTTAGTATTATGTCTAATGTTTGTTTTATGTGACTTATTACATTTAGTATATTTTATCTTGCATCTTATATTTTAGTATTATGTCTATTGTTTGTTTTCTCTCTTTTTATATTGCTGCTGGTCTCTGTGAGTTACCAAACACATTTCGTTGTATAACTACAATGACAATAAAAGTTCTTTACTTCTTTACTTTACTGAAGATAAATATACTGAACCATTTTACATAAAAGTTGTCATGGGTAATTTTCTGATTTATTTCATAATATTAAAAAGAAAAAGAAAACATGACATTGAATGTATTAACTAATGCAGAATAACTTATTAATTATAAATTATTGCAATAAAAAAGTAAACAAGTACATTTATTACACTTACATTGAATACACTAGTCAAGCCTTTGCCTTGATTCGCTCACCAAAGTCTCTGTATTGTTCTCCATCAGTCGGGTGACAATATATACATTCTAAACTAAATCTGATTAATTTACACCATTTGAATAGAACAATTTAATTTCAGTTGGCTGTTTTGTAGGTCATCGATAATACAAACAAAGAAAAGGTTACATTAAATTTGAATTGATAATCTCTAAATCATTCTCCCTTTCTTCTCAGATGGGATGGCATGCCAATTCAATGTTTGGGTATCTGTGCCATATTCTGACACTGAGGAGAAGAAGCTGTTGAATACAGTAATTTTTGTTTTATGTGCGCACAAAAGTATCTTGTAGCTTCATAATATTTTAATTGAACCACTGAAACCATATGACCTGTTTTTGGGATTTTATTTTGAACTAGTCCTGTTAAAGGAGGATGAGGGAGCTCTCAGATTTCATCTAAAATATCTTAATTTGCACTCTGAAGATGAACAAAGTTCTCAGGGGTTTGAAACAACATGAGGGTGAGTTAATTTATAACAGATTTTTCATTTATGGGTAAACTGATCTATTAAGTTGATTGTGAATTTGGTTCCCATGGTCAGGTGTATTGCTGCTAAATTCTGTGCTGACAGTGAGGGCTCATCAACCCACCTCTCATGAAGGTCGAGGCTGGGAGATCTTCACAGATGCTGTGGTCCTGTGGCTTAGCAGGAACCTCAAAGGCCTGGTCTTCCTGCTTTGGGGTTCATATGCTCAGAAAAAAGGCAGAGTCATTGACAGGGTAAAGGAGCAGAAGTATAACATGCTAACATACAATGCTCAGCATAATTGAGTACACCTTATTTTGATAATTAATGTTTTGATCCATATTTTAGTGAATAAAGGCAATTTATTTTTGGTGCATTTAAACATAACAGACTTATTTAACAGATATATTTATTAAAATAATATTTTAGTCACCAAACATATTTAAAGTATATATTAAAAATAATTCAATTAAATTCAAGCAAACTATTGCAAACTACAAAATTACAACCAAATTATTCATTTTATTAAATTTTTTAGCTTCTCTTGATTTTTCCTTTTTTTTTTTTTAAATTTGTATTTAATATTTTTCTATGACAAGTAATTTTGGGTGTACGAGTTTTTGGACTGTTATCGTTAGTTATTGTATTAGATAAGCTCCAGGTTTGGCTTCAGTACTGACTAATCCAATGTATATGCACTAATATAATATTGTAGAGCTTCCTATTAAAAATATGAATTTAAAAGAGAGATTTGTGAGGAGTGTACTTATATATGCTAATCACTGTATTTATCAAGAATTTACTCATTTTAACTAATATAAAAGTATACACATTTAGAGATTAACTTTTTTCTCATTTCTGTTTCTCCCCCAGAAACGTCATCATGTTCTTGAGACTTCACATCCATCACCGTACTCTGTACATTTAGGCTTTTCTGGATGTAGGCACTTTTCTAAAGCGAATATGTTACTAAAAGCATCAGGAAAGAAGCCAGTTGAATGGACAGCTCTATGAAGTAATATGCAGTTTGTTCTTTAAAATCCTTTTTTTGTTGTTGTTAAACATATCACAGCTGCATACAGCTGCAACTAGGTTGACATTGTGATCATCTTGACGTACTAAAACAATTACATAACTATATAAACACAATTAATAAATGTATTTACTGTACTTTGTCAAATTGGGCATACGACCTGTAATTCCATGCACTCACCTGTAGGTAAAATGCTATTTTGATAAAAAAGAGAGTTTAAAGAGAATTTAAAATGTATTTGTGGAAAGATAGAAGTTTAGTGAAACATGTTATAAAACACAACCCTCAAATACTGTCTTTTTCATGCACAACCTCATTAGCATTTCCATAAATAGATTTTAATTGACAGTTCAATACTGTTTTTTAACTACATCAAATTTTGCACAAAAAAAAAATTGAAATGTATATTTAGATCACAACACTGTGTAGTCCGCCTTGAGCATTTGGGAACGAGGCCAGTCTCACATTATAAAAAAGAAAAAAGCAAAGAAAAATAGGACACTACGACAGCCCATGCAGGGCATGTTTCATAGCGGGATGTCCATAAATCCAGGTGATGCAGCCATAATAAGCAGTGTCCCACTTCAACTCTTCCTGGACCTTTTTTTCTCTTCCACTGGCCGCCAGAACACATACAGTACACCACTGCTCTCTGCACCACTGGCACTACTCCATTCCCCCACAAGACTCTCAACTGCAACAAACCCAACTGGATCGTATTTTGTTTTATTTTCATTAAAACATGTACTGCCTGAACTCTAAGGTAAGTCCTACTTAACAACTATTCACTGTATCGTATGTAGCCAGAGAGCTTATTTCTTGGCAATGGACTTTTGACCTTAACCTAAATTCAATGATATATAGAAATTGCATTACTGTGTGGTGCACATATGTTTAAACTTCCCACATATGTGCTTTTTCTAATGTTGTGCAGGGAATATGATCTTTGGCAGCTACCATCATGGTCATTTTAATCTCTTTGTATTTAAAGAGGGTTGTGTTTAGTTACAAGAAAGCATCGGTTTCAGTACAGTAACAACAAACCTATCAATTAGGTCAAAGGTGGTTGAAGACACTAACTAGTGTTATAAATATTAATATGGCCATCTTGTGCTCCTGTGGAATTTTCGATTTATGAATTCCATAAATCATTTTACATCCATCCCATAATTCACCTGTGTGCCTGGTTGATTTGTTAATTGCAAGGCATAAAATACTATAGTTATTTGAAGTGAACCATACTTTAGTAAAAGTAATGTAATTAATCTTTTTGTGGTAATTCTATAGTTGCTGTGAAGCAATAGAACTGCTACAGTAATATAAACAAATTACCCAATACTGTAGTGATTTTCAAACAATGGGGTATTTTATACTACACCACAGACAGTTTAATGTAGTAAAAACTAAAGTATACTACAGTTTATCTGTTCACTATAGTTAATTCTACAATATGCAATGCCATTCATTAATAAAAAGTTGTCAATAGGCCCACTATAATATATAAAGTATAACACACACATATACACATACACTATAGTCCAAAACCACTAATGTTAGTATGGCATATTTACTATAAATTATTATAGTTTTCTTTTCGTGTGGGTAAACTATTAGTCGAATAGACATTGTAGGATGGTTACTTTACCTTTTATTGTTGTCTCTTTGAAATTATTTGACAATTCTAAGTAAAAATCGGAACTAACAACTGACTAAATGTTTGCTTCAAATCTTCCAAACGCAGTAAAATTAGTTGAACCAATGACGTGAGTTTGGGGGCGGGACAATCATTTGGTCTGACCAATGACACAAGATGTGTCAAATAGATAAAAGGAAACTTAAGCTACTTACTTGAGTGATCTTGTTAATTTGGTACAAAAGAGCAGGGAAGCATTGATGATGACATTTCGTAAGTAAATATGGTTTTGCTTGGTTTATGGTAAACATCACACGTTTGTAGAAAGTCTGATGGGTATAATTATTATTAGGCTAACTTTTCATTTGATTTTTTGCGTCATCGCGCAATTCTGAAAAAGCGTGTCTTGTGTGAAATTAGGTTCTCAAGTTCTTGTAAATAATATTGTCATAACAATGACTTTCCCACCAGTTGAATGAAATCAGTATTGTTTATGTCGTAATACATTCACTGTAATAAAGTCCACAAAACTCCATATCTGTCCGATTGTAAAACAAATTAAACAACAAATTCGCTTCCAGCAATCAAATACAAGTGCTTATCATTTTAATCATGTCTTAATCTTTCAAACCATTTTACAAGCTTTAGTGAGGACTGATGTAGACAGTACAGGTCACCTTTTTTTTTTTTTTTTGCTTGGTGGGCTATACGCTCACTTAGTACCAGGTTGGACCCCATTTGCCTTCAGATCTGTCTTAATCCGTCTTGGCATTGGTTCAATAAGGTACTGGAAATATTTGATTTTGATCCATACTGACATGATAGCATCACGCAGTTGCTGCAGGTTTGTCGGCTGCACATCCATGATTTTCCCGTTCCACCACATCCCAAAAGTGCTTTATTGGGTTGAGTTCTGGTCACTGTGGGGGCCATTTGAGTACAGTGAACTCATTGTCATGTTCAGGAAATCAGTCTGAGATGATTCGCGCTTTATGACATGGTGAGTTATCCTGCTTTAAATAGTCAACAGAAGATAGGTACACTGTGGTCATAAAGGGATGGACATGGTTAGCAACAATGCTCAGGTAGGCTGTGGCACTAACACGATGCTCAGTTGGTCCTAATGGGCCCAAAGTGTGTTAAGAAAATATCCCCAACCACCACCAGCCTGAACCGTTGATACAAGGCAGGATAGATCCATGCTTTAATGTTGTTGATAGGATCCGAATGTCGCAGCAAAAATTGAGACTCATCACACCAGGCAGTGGTTTTCCAGTATTTTATGGTCCAATTTTGGTGAGCCTGTGCAAATTGTAGTCTTAGTTTCCTGTTCCTAGCTGACAGAATTGGCACCGCGGTGTGGTCTTCTGCTGCTGTAGCCCATCTGCCTCAAGGTTTGAGGTATTGTGTGTTCAGAGATGCTCTTCTGCACACCTCAGTTGTAACAAGGGGTTATTTGAGTTACTGTTGGCTTTGTCAGCTCAAACCAGTCTGGCCATTCTCCTCTGACCTCTGTCATCAACAAGGCATTTGCACTCACAGAACTGCCAGTTACTGGATATTTCCTTTTTTTCAGACCATTCTCTGTAAACCCTAGAAATGGATGTGCGTGAAAATCCCAGTAGGTCATCAGTTTATGAAATACTCAGACCAGCCTGTCTGGCACCAACAACCATGCCATGTTCAAAGTCACTTAAATCATCTTTCTTCTCCAATCGGATGCTTTGTTTGAACTGCAGCAGATCGTCTTTGCCATGTCTACATGCCTAAATGCATTAAGTTGCTGCCTTGTAATTGTGTTAACAAGTACTTGGACAGGTGTACCTAATAAAGTGGCCGGTGACAGTTTGTCTGCTTTTCGACTACAAACAAAGGTTTGTTGTCAAACTGGCCTATAGGGCTGTACTATACTGCAAAGTCAGACATTTATTTATTTTTTTTTAAACTAAAGACTGCTTTTATTCCAGCCAAATGAATTGTCTTGAAGAACAAATATAATAGTTAAAATACTGTGAAAATTTCCTAAATCCAATAAAAATTATTTTAATTTATTAGAAAAATAATTATGATTTCACAAAGGGGCTAATATTTTTGCCTTTATCTGTATGCTAATTTCATATATTGATGCTGAAACAATATATTGTGCAGCTTTAAACCTGAATCGTATTTATATGCCAAGACGTTCACTGATTATACACATTATAATTTACAGTCACCTGATTAATAATGGAAACAAATATCTCAAGACAAGAGGCTGAAAAGTGAAGTAGGGCAACTGAGCCATACATTACCTGAGAGAGGCCAGTACTTAAGCATACATTTACAGTAATAAGGTAAACATCCACTAACTCGGGTTTCGTCTCAACTGACCACCCTACCATTACACCGCCATCATTTTGTAAACTTAAAAAATGAGCCAATTTGAAACCAAACGGGCAAGGAGCCACGGGCCACGTTTTGGTGAGTGGGTAGTAGTTAGCAGAAAGGGATCCATCTAATCAAAGATCAGTAACGAGACTCCATCAATGTAATTTTGTGCAGAAGAAGTCAGGTAGGAGGGGAGGGAGTATAGGGTGCGAGCTCAGGTTTCCACAGCCTTGTGTTACACATGGTGGGGCAGCGGCCGCTAAGGAGAGGCGCTGAATGAGATCTTCTCTTGCTGCCCCTGCATGAATCATTCAGCATCTTGGAGCAGACCACGGGCTGAGTTTATTAGAGCCGCTTAAACTGAAATAATTTCCTGAGAACGCTAACAAGGTGAAAAAAAGATGTGCGATAGGGAAAAAGAGAGCAGAATTGATTAGAACCGAATGTGAAGTGGATCACATGTCTGAGTTTCCGTCATGTCAGGCCAAACTTCACTCTGAAAGCTCTTTGAATTGCTAAGGACTAATACTAGGAGAACAGGGAGTCATTTCTTCTGGGAAAAAAAGCAATGGATACTGAGGTAATTCATATGTAGTTGTACATTTTATTGTATTTGTTTGATGAAAAAGCAGATTATATGTGTATAAAATATGTAGAATTTTGGTTACTTATTAGTTTTGCTAAATATTTGACACATTTGGCTTCATATTTATTTGTGATTCATATAGACAGAAAAAAACAGATCACTGTACCTGATTGATTTTTGAATATGTAATAATAGCCTACATAAACTGAACCAAGTAAAAAAATTAAAATAATAATAATTTTAAAGTATGTGAATTGTATGCACAATTTTTCAGTTATAACTAATATAATTTCATTTGTATATTATTTAGAGCATAAGTACCTCTGTTTATCTTATATACATTTTAGAATTGCATGTGACTCTACAAAAAGTCATTTACATTTTTCCACAAAAATCTTAAAACTTGCATAGGGAAAACCAAATGTTAAAAATGAAAAAGAAATGGAAGAAAAACGTTGAAGAGGGAAAATTTGGACTTTGACATTTAATGTAAAATATTTGTCATGGCAGTAACAAAACTATGCTAGTGGCCTACAGTGAGCTCTAGCTCTTTATGAAGTCTTAAGCCATACTGTGAGCTGAGAACTGGGATCCTGTGACATACTGGAGTTTTGGGACAATAGAATGGCCTCTCAGATGATGGTCAGTCAGTCAGATAGACTTTCCTTCAAAATTAGCTGTAATGTCACTCGGAAATGTAACAGTGACACCAAAATGGAAATCTTAATTAAATGACCTTTTTGTTTTTTGATTCAGACCTGATCAGGTATGTAATTACAGCTGAAAAATATTGGTAAGCTCAACTTTACCCAATCTTAATAATAGATTATTTAATAATAAATAATGTTTTTGTATTATATTACAATGATGATACCTAATAGACTTTTGATCAAATACATTCAGTGCCTGTTTATAAAGTGATTCAACAGATTTTAAAACGGTTTTATAGCATGTGACCAACTAGTAAGACAATGTGTAATATGAGAAAAAATCATGGAGTGCCTAAAAAGTTTTGCTGCTTCATTAGTCAAGTAAGGTCGTATATGCCTGAAGTTGGCCAGATTAAATTGAACAATTTTAATAACCTTCTTGGCATGCTTTTGGAATGTTAATTGAGAATCTAAAATTAGACCTAAATATTTAAAAACAGAGACAACCCTGTCTTATAATACAAACTTTATAAAAAACTTATAATAAAATTACAAAATTAAATATGGATTGGAATGAGTCTAAAACAACCAACCACCATTTTACAAATCCACGCCAATGAAGGAGGCCAAGACCAGAATAAGGACAATTTTTCTGTCTTTAAAATAGCAAAAGTGGATTGGGACATGCCAGATGTACATCTGCACTGTGTGCCTTAGACTATGTGCTTAGATTGTTAAAATAGAGTCTTTAGACTGCTGAATATCTACCTATTTTGTTGGTCCCCTTTATAATCTACTGAATACAAGTCACTATGTATAGCTTTGCAAGTATTACATTTTATTCCCATAAACATAACCTAAATGTTTACAAATATTCTAATGAGAGTTAGTTGATATTTAGTTGAAGAGTTGCATATAGTCACCAAAAGGTCTAAAGGGAACCATTATAATGGGAAAATTATCAATATTTAAATATTCAGATTGTACAATCTACTAATGTTAAAGTAAAAAAAAGTCTTTCAAATGGAGATCTGAATCGAGAATGAAGAGTTTCCAACCGTGAGTTTAAATCTAAGATCATGATGGTCTTTTAAATAGATGCACTACATGACAAGCTGTGTGTAATGAGAGAGGAACGCTGACAGACTGCCGGAGGCTTGGCTTCTCATCTTGGCTCTAGTCTGAGTGCTCTTTGCCAGCTGATAGACAGGACTCGTGTGTGATGCCAGCTTTGTCTTTTAAAACATTTCCTGGTCTCTTCACTTTCACTTTTGAGGTGTACAGTTAATTTATTGGGTTGACAGTGATAGTTCATCCAAAAAAGGAAATGTACAGTTAGTTTACTCACCCTCAGGTCACTGAAGATTTAGATGACTTTTAAAAGAAGATTTAGAAGAGGATTTTCAGCTGAATTCATGGTTCTTGGTGATTCATATGTCAATAGTCATCTATTTTTGAGATAAACACATACAAACAAATCCAAAACTACCCCTCTAAGTAATGTAGTCAAGAACTGCTGAAAGAATCACAAGTTGACAGTTTCCAGAATGAAAACGGATGTAATTCATTGTGTGTGTCTTGTGGTTTAAGATGTTTTCAGGTAGTGATTTGTGTGTGTGTGTGAGGGAGAGAGAATGTGTGTGTTCCACCTGAGGTAAATCAAGCATCAGTAGCATCAGACAGGAATAGTTCATTTATTGGGAGTTTGTGTATGTCCGTGACTGACCTTGGCCCAAAATCCATCCCATGATGGGAACAGAGAGAAACTGTGTAATCTGGGTCAGAAATAGTTTTGCCCTCAAGTTTAACGGAACCAAGATAGGACAAACCTGCGCTGTTCAGGATGCAAGGCAATAAATCCATAACGATTTCTGTTTCAGACAGATGTTTCTTGACATACACGCAGACCCCCGCTTCCTTAGCAAACTTTTTATTAATGACTTCCCATGGTGGAAGTGGTGAGTGTGATATGACATTGTTTCCTGTCATACTTGAAATAATCGCAGATGCTCGTTACAAAACCGGTTAAGATCACACACACAGTTCCCACATCACTACACAGAGACTAAACATTCACTGCACTGAAGGTAAGGGCTGCTACTGGACTTTTCTTTACTCACTTTTTATTATTAAATACATTTATTAGATAAATAATGAAGATAGATCTGTAATACAAGGAAACCAAACAAGTAGTTTGTTTCTGTAAAATATCATGCAGGTGTAGTTTTAAATTAGTCTTTAAGTATATCCCAAACCATAATACGAACTGTGTAAATGTGGTAAAATAATAGTAATGCTAAGGATGTTTATGCAGTAATTCACAATTAGAAACTGCATTAAAAGTACTCTGCAGTTACATTAAAAGTTATTTCCATGTTGAAACATTTCACAAATTTGTATGTTGCTCATAAATCTAATAAATAACTCATTGTGTTATAAAAGTCATAGAGCTAACCTAATAAAGCCTGTAAAATAATGATCTTTTTTTTATAGTTTCCTGTTCCAAAAATCATATATTTGATCATTTTAGAGTGCACCTTTCACCACAAAAAAGGTAGATAAAACTTAAATTAGTTTCATATGAGCCTAATTGAAAGTAAATTTACCTTACCTTACTTAAAATGTTTTTTTCCTTTGGAAAAAAAGTGAAAACAAAATTATTTTACTACACTGGCAGATAATTTTGCTTGTTTTAAGACGAAAAAGAAACTTAATTTTAACTTAATTCTTATTTAATAAGTTTGTGGTTCGTTCCACTGTGCCCAACCCCTGATAAATAAGGGACTAAGCTGAAGGAAAATGAATGAATGAACTCTTTTGAAGTTGAAAACAAAAATTTTTTTTTGCTTAATCTAAGAATTTTTATATATTTGGACTAAAAATGAGACAAATCAATGTAAAAAAGCTACCCAGAAAACTGTCAAATAGTGCTATTCAAAAATTTTTTTGTAAAACTGTAATCATATCACAATATTCATAACAAAAAAAGTAAAATATTGCAATATCAGATGAAAATCCTGCTGGCCTAACAGAAATCCTCAGCCACCTGTGGACAATGGCCAACAGGGTGGACTCTGCAAAATATACAAAAAGACATACCATTTATATATATATATAGGGTCTTTTTAGAGGACATACTGTACAATTTTATCAACACACAAAAATAATATCCTGTTTGTCAGAAAACCAGGATGGACCCTGCTATGCTCAGCATTGATTGATGAACTGTACAGAAAGCCATTTTAGATTAGATAAGTAAGACTGGGCTCTGATGCTATATTGTTGACAGGATTAGTTCAAGTCCACACCCGAACTGATATGTTACTTAATGTTGGGATAATATAATAAAGCTGGAGTAAATAAAAGTAGGTTATGCTTGTTATTAAGATTTATTTTGCAATAATTGCCATTCAAAGAATGATCTGTTCAGTATTTATTCAATAGTATGGAGTTTAATCTTCTGCCAACATAAAAACTAAGACATAATGCCATTTTTAATAATAGCTGACCCACACCTGTTGTGTTATTTTTGGTGTCTGTGATTAACAGAGTTTAGAGGAGCGCTGTCAGCGGATCCTGCAGGAGATGGAGGGCTCTCTGACGGCCCGGGACCGGGTGGGGATTCAGGACTTTGTCCTTCTAGACGCCTACACCAGTGAAACGGCATTCATGGACAACCTCAAAAAACGGTTCAATGAGAACCTCATATATGTGAGTCCTCCTCTCTCTCCAGTAGGTGCAATAGATCATGATAAAGGCCGGCAATGCAATATCCAGTATCACGGTTACTCTCATTATTGAGATGGGGGAGAGAATAATGTGGACTCTCATGCTGAACACAGGTCACTGCACACAAGAAGTCTATTAAAGGAAAATGCTCTCTGTACATCTCATTTGGCTTTTTGCAGGCAATGGAAACTCACTTTGCTGATGATTCAGCATGATGAATTTGTTTAAAGGCACCTTGAAAAACCTCACATACGAAACTGATGAGGAGTCATATTTACTTATTGTTCATCTTTAACCAATTAAAGTTCACATATGCTGGCAGATCCTTTCATGAGAAAAAGTTAAAATCATATACATCATATTTACTACATATTCATAAACTTCATAACTACTTAGGCAAAAGACTGGCTTTTTACTTCTGGGAAAACTTTATTTTGATGGTCCATTTGAGTATTAGCAGACTGTCTGCTTAATATCTGCTGATACTGCTTCTTCAGCAGACATTTAACTGACTATAAGAAACTTTGCAAGTACATGTCAACTTACACTTACCCCAACCTAACAGTCTACTTATAATCTAATGAGAATTAGTTGGCATGTACATGCACTGTAACTAAATTCAACAAACAGAGCATCAAAATCGAGTGTGACCTAACTTTTTCTTAAATGTGCTTGTTTTTCTCTTTTCTGTTAGACCTACATTGGGACCCTTCTGGTGTCAGTTAATCCATATAAAGAGTTGGGTATCTACACCAAGAAACAAATGGACATTTACATGGGAGTCAACTTTTTTGAGCTGCCGCCTCATATGTAAGTTTTCATATAATCAAAGGAAAGACATATAACTGTTATAAATAAAAAATGTGTAATAATAGTACCATATGACGAAAATCTAAAGACTTTTTAAATTTCTTCTAAATTTGTTCATATTTTTGACAAATTAAATACGATTATTTTGTACACGTTTATTTCAGAGTACATCATGCTGTGTGTGTGTTTGAGAGAGAGCAGGAAGTAACACCAGCTGTTAAAAATCAGACCAGAGCTCATTAATATTCACGACCTTTCCAAATATGGTCAATATGGAATTTCATTCTAGGGGTAATTTTTGGGCTTTTAGCATATAAATCCATTTTTGGGAAATCTTGTAAGTTGCCTAATGCTGCGTTCACACCAGACGTGGATGAAGCATCAAGCGCAAGTGATTTACATATTAAGTCAATGCAAAGATGCGAATAAACATCCTACGATGCAATTCGTGCAAATGAGACAATTCATACGGGTTGAGCGTTCACAGCGTGACATTCTCACAGCGGTAACCAATCATTAGCTTGCTCTTGTAGAGAAGAGATTTTGACGTAGTGCTTGTTATTGGTGTCCTGAGGGGAAATCCTATTGCCGCCAGAGGACAACTGGCTTGCTTGGTTTGGGACTAGTGGAGCTGCTTGATGGATTTGCTTTTCAGTGTTTGGATGTTCAGCAGTGACAATTAAACCACACTGAACTGAACTTAAACTCTGAACTTAAACTTAACTGACACAGTTTCAATTTACTATAACCTTCTATGTGAAGCTGCTTTGACACAATCTACTTTTTAAAAGCAAGAGAGAAATAAAGATTTGAATAAAGAATTGAATTGAATTGAATTGAAGTGAATTGAACAGTTCATCAAACTGGGCTCGACTTAGTCTTAAGCACCGCTGAAAGCCTCCGTCATCCAGTCTCACAGAGCTGGGTACACTTCTGAAAGTATCTCGTGGGCAGAATGAATCTATGCACATAAAGCACAGCTACTATCTCAATAACATCCATGTTAGCCATTTAGCAACAAAGCTAGAGTCACCAGGCAGACAGAAGCCCTGCCCATGATTCAGATCTGCATCTATTGTGAAGTGAATTTGATGTTTGAATTAAGTGAATTTGACACGCAAATTAACTCAAAATGTTCACGGGTCTATTTACGCATGAATAGCATGATTTATTTGCGCATTCTGGTGTGAACACACCATTGGATCAAAAGAAAATCGGCACACTGCCACTTTAGCTCTCAAAAAGTCTTAAATGTTACAATAAAGACTTTTTGAGAGCTAAAGTAGCAGTGTGCCGATTTTCTTTTAAACTTTTGATACAAATGTTTGTTTTTGATCGAGCACCTGCGTTCGAGATTTTCTAGATGGGCTCACATTTTCTGTTTTTTGCTAACACACCATTAGACACATACCTACTATGTAGGAATTGGAAAACTATTTACTTATTGAATATATGCACTTTATGTCAACTTTAAATTGTGCTAAATAAAACTGTAAAGGTATTTATAATGTACAAAAGATTTCTATTTTTTTACAGATTTATTTTTGGTCTTTATTAGATAGGACATAATGAGACAGTAAGCGAAGTTGGAGAGAGAAAGGAGGATAGGGTTGGGAAATGTCCTCGAACCGGGATTCAAAATGCTCTGATGTGCTATTGCACTAAATGTCGGTGTGCTTACCACTAGGTTATTGCGCCTACCAAAGAAATCTATTTTAAATATTTTTATTCTTTTGATGTTTTTATTCATAACATTTTCTAACTAATAAAATATTAGTAAAATATTAAATATTGTTTTCAATTCTCATAATAACTTTAATGGAGCTTTATGGTTTTTACAATTAAATAAAAGTTTGATGAACAGGAAAAATGTATCAATTTTCTTTAAATTCTTGCATAAATGTATTATTTTTCATTGTATTATTAATTTTTTAATAAAACTGTTTTGTATAAATGTAGAAAAATTTTTTTGGCTATATTCAATTGAAATGAAAAGAAATAAATACTGAAAAATCATACTCAAGTAAAAGTACCATTACTTGCCCAAAATTGTGTTGCAAGTAGATTAAAATGATCTGTTAGAAAAATTACTTAAAGTATGAATAAATAGCCCTTTTCAAAGTATTCAGGAGTTGTGAGTTTTATGCAGGGAAAGGTTAATGCATTTACATGTAATTTGTGGATGTGTGTGTAAACGTAACATTCTGTAGTTCATTTTGTTATTGTTTAAGGCCATTTCGGTCATCATACAATAAACATCTGTTATCTTCTCATCAGTGACATTCAGACAGTCTTTGGGTCATTGCATGTAAAGTATATTCTTGGTCACTTTTAATGCTTCCAATCAGATTGCTGCATGTCTTGAGGTAGTTCATTATGATGCGATTTTTACATTCTATCTGCGATTTGATTGGACAGGAATCACAGGACTGATTTTTCTAATCCCCATAGACAAGAATAAAATAGTGACTACAGGTTGAAGGAAATTAGTGGAGTAAAAGTACTGATACTGCTCTAAAAATGTACCTAAGGGAAAATAAAAGTATACATTTTAAAACTACTTAGTAAATTACAATTTCTGAGGAAAAACTACTCTATAACAGTAGTTTGAGTATTTGTAATTACTTTATATCACTGACTGTATAGCAGGGCTTAAATGAATATTGACAGATTTTAACAGTGTTTTCAGATGTGATGTTTATTTAATGCTACTTTTTTTTTTTTTTTTACTTGTCAGCTTTGCACTTGCTGACAATGTTTATCGGACAATGATCAGTGAAACCAGCAACCACTTCATCCTCATCTCTGGTGAAAGTGGTGCAGGCAAGACGGAGGCCTCTAAGAAGGTCCTGCAGTTTTATGCTGTGAGCTGCCCGAGCACCAGACTCCTGGACAACGTCAGAGATCGCCTCCTTCTCTCCAACCCCGTCCTGGAGGTCAGAATTTTGTCTGTTGGTATATTCTCAATCCACATGCTCAATGTATGAAGTATGAAGCATAAGAACACTCTATCTACAGGCCTTTGGAAATGCCAAAACCCTGAAAAATGACAACTCGAGTCGATTTGGAAAGTATATGGACATACAATTCGACCACCAGGTAGAAGTCAGATTCTCAAATATTGTAGAATAGGAGAAAGCGTTCATTAACTGTGAATTTTTTTTTTTAATTTTCTTTCAGGGAGCAGCAGTTGGAGGCCACATCTTAAGTTATTTATTGGAGAAGTCAAGGGTTGTTCACCAAAATCATGGAGAAAGGAACTTCCATATTTTCTATCAGTTAGTTGAAGGAGGAGAGGATGAGCTTCTTCGCTGGCTTGGTTTGGAGCGAAACTGTCAGAGCTACCGCTATCTTATTCAGGTAAGGAACGCAGATATAATAATGTGTTTGGAAATTAAAGAAGAATGAGGGATATACAAGCAGAGCCATAACCAAAATACATTGATTCTATTGTTTTTGACAGGGAGAATGTGCCAAAGTGAGCTCCATTAATGACAAGAGTGACTGGAAAACTGTACAGAAAGCACTTACTATCATTGAGTTTAGTGAAAAAGACATTGAGGTAAGATGATCTTTGTTATTCACATTTGAGTCTTTGTATTAAGCTGTTATGAGTAGGGCGGGATGTCATTCCTACAAGCAAATGTGCGTTTCATGTCGAATATGAAAGTGAAGGATGCTAAAATATTACAGAGTGCTGTTTATCCGTTTGGAAAATTGACCAGAATTACTATCTGATAATTTTTTCATATTTTAATCTTAAAATATTTTGTATTAGGCCTGTTGTTTTGTCCATTTCAGCACTGACACCTCTAAAGAAGATCAACATTAATCTGCTTTATGATCTGACTGCAGTCCCGGTGTTATGCCGAGAAATGCACCCCTTCATAGACTTTCATTCTTTGTCTATATTCAAAAAACAAGTCAATAGCCATAATTGATTCAAACGTAAGCTAATATGATGGATCATGCATAAACAAGAAGTAAAATGTGATATAAAACTAGGTGTACAAATAAATGAAAATAAAAAATATTGACTGTAGTATAAACTGATGTAATGAGCCTGTTTCTAAATTTAGGCATTTTGATGGGTTTTGAACAAACGAAGAACATACAATTGTTGTAGTTTTTAACTAAACCACACATTAAACATTCATTCATTCATTTTCTTTTCGGCTTAGTCCCTTTATTAATCTGGGATTGCTACAGCGGAATGAACCGCCAACATATCCTTCATATGTTTTACGCAGCGGAGGCCCTTCCGGCCGCAACCCATCGCTGGGTAACATCCATAAACACTCATTCACACATTAAACAATTCACTTTAATTAATCTAATCAGTATTGCATTTAAATTAAATCTACCTAATATCTTCTATAAGGTAAGGAAGATAGTCACCTTAGTCTGAGTTAGTTGTCATAACTCGATTATTATTATATTTTTTTTATCAATTTCATTTAATATATGCACATTTCAGAGGGGCTACATTTTACAACAGGGGTGCGTTTCTTGGCACAACACCGGTTCATCAGTTATTTCTGTCTATAATTTAAACCTATAAAGCATAATTCTAAAAAAAAAACCTTAGCATTGAACCCTGGAAATCATTGGTTAATATTTTGTTTTTGTTCCAGCATCTGTTTGCGATCATTGCCAGTGTTCTTCATCTTGGCAATGTTCACTTTGAGGCCACTTTTCAGGGTTATGCCAGACTGAACAGCAGTGGGGAAATACACTGGCTGTCTAAAGTATGTTTGACTGTCGCTTATATTAAGATTTGGAATAGCTATGCACTACAAGTTTGATCGTTTACGCTGTAATGCCAGTGTTGGCCTCTTGCTTTGTCTTTTTTCCCTCAGTTATTAGGCATCCCCTCAGACATGTTGCAGGAGGGTTTAACTCACAGGAAGATTGAAGCCAAAGCTGAAGAGGTGAGGCAGGATTCTGAACAGAGGCTTAGTAGCGTTGTCTATATGTACAAGTACTTATAGTTACTTTAATTTAGTCAATGTGATTAAATGCTAGCCTATTTACATTGCATGTGCTTGTTAGTGATATTTATTTCATTCACTGCAATCCAGTTAAGTAGTTTAATGTATTGTGTATGACACGTTGCATAGCTGCTTAACATTTGTAGTTTCACGTAAACATAAAAAATGTTTTGAATTTACCTGAAAAGGTGTGGTGTAAATGTACCCTTGTTTAAATTTATATAGTTTGTTGACAAAAAGCTGAAAGAAATTAAGTTTAAGTATGATACATATTAGTTTAGTTGACATTTGTTGTATTTCAAGTAACAAAAAATAGCTTAATTTGGGGTTTTAGTTGAGTATAAAAACCCTGTTATGATTATTAACATTACTGTATTTCAGAAATGCATGATTATGTGGTATTTTTTATTTTCAGGTTTTAAGCCCTTTCACTGCTGAACATGCAAAGTATGCCCGGGACGCACTAGCCAAAGCCATCTACGGCCGCACATTCTCATGGCTTGTAAATAAGATAAACGAATCCTTGGCAAATAAGGTAGGCTTGGTTTACATACTCAGTTTTTTTACTGTAGTTTATTTAAATGTGTGAATTAGTCAATGAGTTATAAGTTTATTAATCTATTACCAATGCAGGATTCAACCAGAAAGACAGTGATAGGACTGCTGGACATTTATGGATTTGAAGTGTTTGATGTGAACAGGTAAACCTTAAACACTGTAACCGTACACATTCACCACATGCATTTATTGTAATGGTTTCCTTCAAAAATACTCTTGAAAGGGGTTAATATGTCAACAAAATTAATTAATAACCTTTTCATCAGTACAGTGTCAGAACAAGCCCTCTAGACACAAAGAAATGGGCCAACTCTAATGTTAAAAAACACTATGCTGATGACCTTATTGCTGTTTCATGTTAATAAATTGTCGGAATGTGAATTAAATATTTGTAAAGTACTAAATAGACATTTTGATTTATGTTTAGTCTTGTCAAATGACTAGTCATGATGAATCACATCCAACGCTAAAGCACATGTATTTAAATAATATGTGTGCACACCTTTTTACAGTATATGCAAAACAATAATATATATATGATATTATATTTGTGCCTATGCATTAGATTAGTCAGTACTGAAGCCAAATCCGGAGCTAATCTGACAAAATATCTTAAGACAATGGTCCCAAATGTATATAACATATGTATATGTTAAATAAAAATCAAGAGAAACAAAAAAATATATAAACATCTGTTGAAATTTTGTAAGTTGTATTTGTTTTGCAATAGTTTGCATGTTTAAATTAATTATTTTTCTATTTCTGAAGATATTCAGTAACTAAAATATTATTTGAATAAATATATCTGTGTGGGTGTGTGTGTGTGTGTGTGCGTGTGTGTGTGTATATATATATATATATATATATATATATATATATATATATATATATATATATATATATATATATATATATATATATATATATATATATATATATATATATATATATTCTATTAAAATCAACACACCTACTGTAATTTTACATTAATTCCAATATATATATATATATATATATATATATATATATATATATATATATATATATATATATATATATATATATATATATATATATATATATATATATATATATATATATATATATATATATATATATATATGTATATGTGTGTAATAAATATACACAATACACACTCATATATTATGTAAATTTTATGTAGAATGTGATTCATTGTGTTACACTAATGGTTATCATGTGTATGAATACCTTGTTTACACCTCAGTTTTGAACAGTTCTGCATAAACTTCTGCAATGAAAAGCTTCAGCAACTTTTCATCCAGCTCACTCTCAAATCAGAGCAGGAGGAGTACGAGATGGAGGGAATCGAGGTGAAGTACATGCAACATTTATTTGAAACCAATATTCCTTAATCTTCGGACAGTGATAGTTTGTGCCATAAATCGGCTTGACCATGTGTGCTATCTTCTTGTTGACATATGTCAGTGGGAACCCGTGCCATATTTCAACAATAAGATCATCTGTGACCTGGTGGAGGAAAAACACAGAGGCATCATATCAGTACTGGTGAGTGAAACGGATTCAAGCTGAAACACAATAAAGGGATAGTTGACCCAAAAATGAAACTTTCCTCATCGTTTACTCATTACTCATGTGGTTCAAAATGTTGAACACAAAACAAGATATTCTGAACAATGTTAGAAACCTGCAGCCATTGACAACCATATTAGAAATAAACATATAGGGTAGACAATGGCTGCTGCTTTCCAACATTCTTCAGTACAGCTTTGTGTTTAATAGAAGAACGAATCTCTAACTGCTTTGGAACAAGTGGAGGGTGAGTAAATGACCGAATCTATACTTTATTGGGTGAACTATCCCTTTAAAGCTTTATTAAAGACAAATGGTCACATCTGCCATATAATGTGTCTCACAAATAAAGGATGAAGAATGTCTGCGTCCTGGAGAAGCCACAGATTTTACATTCCTGGAGAAGCTAGAGGGAAAGATGAGTGGCCATCCTCATTTTGTCACGTGGGTAAACCTTTGAAATCCCACTTAATGTTCACTTTAATGGTAGTCTTAAATCAGGCATGTTCAAACTCGGTCCTGGAGGGCTGGTATCCTGCAAAGTTTAATTCCAACCCCAATCAGACAAACCTAGGCTAGCTAATCAAGCTCTTACTAGGCCAGGGTTGGCCACCCTTGTACTAGGATTTCTAGAAACATCCTTGCAGTTGTGTTAAGGCAAGTTGGAGTTAAAACCACAGGACACTGGCCCTCCAGGAGTTTGGACACCCCTGTCTTAAATGCAATAACGCAATGTCAATTTGGTAACTTACTGTTTTTCGCTTTCTGTATAGTAGGAAAGTATGTGATTTCAGTTGCCACCAAGGTCTCTAGGATAACTAAAAACTTCATGGAGCAGGATTTAATCTGTTAAATTAAATATAATCAATTTATTTATTAGAGTCACAGGCTTTAGTCAAAACATTGTTGCATTTTGGGAAATGTGCATCTGTTTGCATCTAGAACAAGTGCCATATAGGCTATATTACATGTTTTAGTCTGCCTAATTGGTAATGTAATGATACAACTATTTTTATGAAAATATTGGAGAATTTATTTTATTAGATGGATACAGATAGTTTTTAAAAACATATTTATTTTTAATCAAAAGCTTATTTGAAGAACTTACATAGAGTAGTTGAATACAAATTTGTTCACTTCTTTTAAGAAGATTTAAAAAATATATAAATTATATATGTTAGTATTAATGTTATATATTATATATTGTTAGAATAAAATATATATGTTAGTATTTACTTCATTGAATTGACTGCTTTTCTAACAAGGTAATGGTTTGATCACAGCAAGAGCTTAAACTGTGGTAATCTAACATTCTCCAAATCTCAGGCACAAATTGGCTGACCAGAAAACACGCAAGACCCTGGAACGAGGAGACTTCAGACTTCTACACTATGCTGGAGAGGTTACTTACTCGGTTGTTGGTAAGTCAACACGCTTTGTGTCAGCTTTTTTAATTTAATAAATTTGTATTTTTGGAGCTTTGGTGTTGCCGCCTTTGATGAATATTTCATTTGCACCTGCGTTTTTTGGCTGAGCACTAAGTTAAGAGGGATTCTTTTGTACAGTTTTTCAAGTCTTTCGTTGCAACCAGTTTTAAGACTAACAAGTCTTTTTCCTTAACTTGACCTGTTTGATTTCCATATGTCAGGATTTCTGGACAAAAATAATGATCTTCTGTACAGAAACATTAAAGAGGTAAGAGATTCCTCCTCTGCATGCATTTACTGTTTGCTTCTCGTCTCTTTGAAATGTTAAAGTTGTTTGTTATTTTGTTAAGGTCATGCGACAGTCTAAGAACAGCATTATCCAGCATTGCTTCCACACTATTGAGCCTGATGGCAAGAAAAGACCCGAGACGGTACAGTAAAATGATATGTGACAAGTGAATGCATTTTTAATGATGATTTTCTGGATATAAAAAAAGAATTGTTTAACTGCAGATTTAGTAAAGCTTATTAATAGTGCACCATTTTAATATACTTCTATCAAATAGATATTGTTGACCGCTGTAAGAAAAAAAATCATGCAAAGTTTATTGCAGCATAGTAGTCACTAAGTGCATGGCAGCACCTTGGGCTCAGCAGATTTGCATAGAATCTTTAACATCCTAAGCTCAAACCTTTCTTACAGTTTTAGTTTAGACCTGAAGTGTGCATGATATCAAAATCTACAATGTTTGTTTTACTGGTGCACATTGTTAGTCTTAAGATGAAAAATTAATCTTTGCAAGTTAATCCACCGAAAAACTCCATATGCTTCTGCTTTGGAATGACAGTTCTTGTCTGATGATGTCAGATTGATGACCTGGGTAAAATATGCTTAGCCACAACCCTCCATTGCTAACTGTCAATTTGCTGCAGGTGAAATATAAAAAGAGGAGGACACATAAACTCCACCAACACTCAGTATAGAGACACATGCAGGCCATGCCCACACAAAGGGGAGGGTGGGGAAATGATGGGGGCATTCTAACCCTTCCCATTGACTTTCTATTGAGCAAAACTGCCTTTTTGTCCTTTCTGAAAAACAGAACAATATCTTAAAGCTGCAATGTGACAAGGTGTAATGTAAACAAGCTACAAAACCAAGGGCTAATTTAATAAGCCATTCACCTCTAAAAAAAAGTAGGACTTTTTAAGGACTCAAAGTTAGAGTGCTGCTTGTCATATTACAGAAATGATGATATGCTCGCTGCAGAGAAATGAAATTGGCGACAGGAAACAATCATTATTTTTAACGTTGCATGAGACAAAGATATATATATATATATATATATATATATATATATATATATATATATATATATATATATAGAGAGAGAGAGAGAGAGAGAGAGAGAGAGAGAGAGAGAGAGAGAGAGAGAGAGAGAGAGAGAGAGAGAGAGAGAGAGAGAGAGAGAGAGAGAGAGAGAGAGAGAGAGAGAGAGAGAAACTAATTGCAACTAACTACAAAAATAATTGTTAGTTTTCTGTAATTTGTGATTCATGTTTACGTATGTATGCTTTTGAATTGCATTATGGGTCCTTAATCTCTCCCCAAAATCTTTTGATGTTGAAAAGTTAGAAAACTTGACTTTTATTGGCATTTTAATAGTATAAAGGGATATGTTGTCTGTATTGGTGTAGTAAATTACTGTACAAAAAATTAGTAGTAGGCTGACAGTAGTTAGTAGTTAGTTCTCTAGATGGTATTTTTTTAAACAATATCTTCTCAACAATATCTTCTCTCAAACTACTAAAATGTCAACAAAAGCACTTTATTAAACTGTAGAGTTGAACGTCGACAGAGCAGAGATCAAACTCCCATAATGCAATTTACAAAAGTAAATAAACCGAAAACACCATGTGAATCACAAAATAAAGCTCTTTTGCTTTGGGTTGATGCAGTCATTTTACTTAAATCATCCAGTAAAGCTGAATCACACATTAAGGCAGGTCAATTCATACACCATGTTTTTTGCGAAACAGGTAGCCACCCAGTTTAAGAACAGCCTTGCCGGCCTGACCGAAATCCTGATGACGAAGGAGCCATGGTATGTGCGGTGCTTGAAACCCAACCACTGCAAACAGCCAGGTGAGCCTTTCACTTCACACTTCTGCTTAGTGGTTTTGTCTGCTGAATGTTTTACAAGAAGGTGCTGGTGACCTGTCTCTCTCTCACCCGACCTCAGATCGCTTTGATGATGTCATGGTGAGACATCAAGTCAAGTATCTGGGGTTAATGGAGCACCTGAGAGTCAGACGGGCCGGGTTTGCTTATAGGAGAAGATATGAAGTCTTCCTCAAGAGGTGCGTTCGCAGTGTGTATGTGTTTTCAACAGCACGTTGTCAATAATGTTACTCAGCTTTATGAATTTTGCTAACAGATTTAATTGAAAGACACAACTTTATTTTTATTTGGCACCTTTAAAAGTAGCATCTCAAGGGATTTTAATGACCTAAAATGTGCAGCAGTAAAAGACACAAGCATAAATGTAAAAAATGTCAAAATAAAAAGTAAAACAAAAAGACACATAAAATAATAATAATAGATCTAAAAATCATGTAAAAGTCAAATAAAATCAAATAACTAATCATATCTGTTTGATGCTAAATAGGACATCCCAGAATCAGACACACATTTTTCAATATTTAATAGTATCTCTTAATCATAATTTAATAAATGATAAAGTTTTTATAAAAAATGTAAATTAAAAAATTAAATTACCAAGTCCATTAGGTCTTAAACTAAATTGAAATAGGTTTTTATATTGTTTTAAATGACTCTCTTATAGTTTGTTAACTTTTTTCTTGACGTGAAAAGGGCCAAGCAAGCTGACATAGCATTTCAAGTGCCTAATTATGCTTTTTCAGAGATTATGTTATTTAATATAGGGGAGAGCGTGGATAAAAGTAGTGTTGATTAAAGTAACAAAAAGATTTTCTCAGAGCCCTTACAACAGTTTTCACTTTGCAGTCTATACCAGCACGTTCTGCATGCATGGAGCTGCCAAATATCATCTGATTTCATCACTGTGTCGTGCGGTTAGATCAGGATTTCAGTTTTTAAATGCAGAAAGTAAATGATGGTACCCTTTTCCTTTTTTTACAAGTTGTGCTTCTGTTTTCATGTGTCACAGTAATGATCAATCTACAGGTTATTTAAGTGCAATAACATATCTTTAAGTGTGCAATGTCTGTGTTTTTCTGTTTAAAGCAAATCAGGTTTAAGTGTCAAGAGTTCCTGTGGGGATGACAGGAACACTTATTTATGTCCCACTGCTAATAGTCATAACTTATTTTCACTTACACATTAGAGTTTGCAGTAATTCAATTTAGATGTTTTATATAAATGAATACACATTGCCAAGAAAAAAATATTCTAAATGATTAAATTTAAAAGCCATGTCAATAAAGGCTTTATAATATATTTTATATATTTTTGAGTGCCTTGGAATGATTTTTGCTGTTTATTTTGATGAATCCCCTACCCAAAGAGCACCGACACATCATTTAAGTTACCACTGAGCACTTTTTGTTTGATTTTAGATTAAATTTTGTATTGTTTTGTTGAGTTTTTTTTTTTTTTGATGAAAAAATAAATATAGGGGAGAGCGTGGGTAAGTAGCATTGAATTAAAGTAACAAAGCGATTTTTCTCAGAGCTCTTACATTAGTTGCTTTTGTAAACATTGGCCAGTGCATCTCAATCACTCAGCGCCCTCTTAAAAAATATGATATGAGCTAAAATAGGAAATGAAATTTAAAATAAAAATGTGATTTAAAATTTATTACAAATATAAAGGACAAAATATGTTTGCAGTTAACATATTAACAAGATCATAGTGCGGTTTATTTTAAAAACAAGATTGATCCAGTAAATCTAGCACATATTGTTGTGTTACTTTTGTCTCTACTGACGGGGTTAGTATGTTTGAAGTGTTTATTTTGTATAAAGTGAAATTATTTTGTAATTTTTTTACATTTGTACAAAATACCACCGGATATTGATAGACCACACTTATGAGTTAGGAACCACTGCACAAATGTATATTTCTGTCTAAAACATCATCTTAAAAAATATTTTTTTATGAAAAATGGTACTTTTGTCTCCACTCTCCACTACATGTTTTAAATTTAATGTCTATAACATACCAAACATCATAGTGTGTGATAAATAAAGGTATTGTCTCCACAAAACAAGAACCAATTAAACCTGAAGCAAATCATGTGCAATTCCAGTTTTGCATCCAGCACAAACTTAATTAAGTTATAAATGTGTCCTTCTTTCAGTTTTAGCCAAGTTTTAAGAGTTTGGTTTGTGTCAACATGTTAAGGTGGTGTTTTCAGCTCTTTCTTTTGAATATGGTAAAACAGAGTTCATCATTTCTGCTCATATCATAAGGTGACCATATGTCCTCATTTTTTCTAGACATGTCCTCTTTCAAAAAAGGTTTCAGTTCAATAGTGATCTGAAATTCAACAAACAAGTAAATTCAGTTGTTAAATCCATTTTTTTTCATTCATGACTCGTAGCAAGTCATTTCTCTCTTTTAATGACCTTGATTACGTGATCCATGCTTTTGTTTTACAAAGACTAGATTATTTGCAACTCACTATATGTAGGTATTAGTCAAAATGCCCTGAATAGATTGCAATTAGTACCAAGTGCGGCAGCTGGCTGCTGGCTGCCTCTTAGGTCACGGATTGATTTTAAACTATTAATTTTTGTTTTTAAACCCTTAAATGATCTGGCAACACCTTACTTATTAGATCTCCTACATGTATATAATCCTGGTAGATCACTAAGGTGCATCTTTGTTTTTTAGCATTTAAGCCATTTTATATTGAGGGGTTTGCCTTATGTTTTAATTGTTGTAATTGTTTAATGTAGCACTTATTTTAATTAGTATTGATTGTCTTCAGCACTTTGGACAACATTGTGTTGTAAAAAATGATTTAGAAATCTAAAATATCCCATTCGACTTTTGCTTGCTACTGTCATCACTATATGTTACATTTTTGCATTACTTTTACCTTTGTCTTTAGGCCGCACTGTTTTTGCACACTACCATTGGTCGGTCATATACATACGCAAATATTGGCTAGTGCATCCCTTAAAAAAATATGATAGGAGCTTAAATATGATAATGGATATTTTATTTTTATAAGGTACCAGTTAAAACAGACTGTGCCATCAAACCAGTTACAGCAGGGGTGTCAAACTCAGTTCCTGGAGGGCCGCAGTTATGCAGTTGAGTTCCAACCTTAATTAAATATGCCTGAGCAAACTAATTGAGTCCTTCAGGCTTGTTTAAAACCTACAGGCAAGTGTGTTGAAGCACGGTTGGAACTAAACTGTGTAGGGTTGCGGCCCTCCAGGAACTGAGTTTGACACCCATGAGTTACAGCAAAGTGGACTTATGGAAGAGCAGGAGTGACTGAATCTTTGAACAAAGGATTTCAAAAAAATTCCTGATGCTGAAATGTTTATATAATATCCAATATAATGGTAAAATGAAAGCAATATTAGACTCTGGTATATCTGTTGTTCCTTTGCTCTCATCCTTTTTTAATCAACCTGTTGTTTTTTCTTCTTACCTGAAAACATTGATCTAATCTCCATGCTGATCTGCGCAGATACAAGGCTCTGTGTCCTGACACATGGCCACACTGGAAGGGGACACCAGCGGAAGGAGTGCAGCGGCTCATCAAACACCTTGGCTACAAAACAGACGAGTACAAGATGGGAAGGTACAAAATGTACAGGCTAATGCTACGATACTTTGTTTTGTTGTTCTTGGACCAAATTAATATCTGGTGCCTTTTGATGCTTTTTCAAGTATTTTATTTTCTTTTTTTTAGAACAAAAATCTTTATTCGCCATCCCAGGACTCTGTTTGCCACTGAAGATGCATTTGAAGTCTGCAAGCATGAATTAGGTAAGCCATCACCAATATCTCAAAATAAAAGTCTAAAGCTGCAGTGCTAGTTTTACATTTGCAATATTATTATTTAGTTTTTTTAGGTAAAACATAAAAACAAAGGAAAACAGACAATAAAAAACCCTACAAAACAGTCTGATTTAAAGAATCTCTTATATGTCCTGAAACGAAACAAAGCAAAACAAAAAACGAAACAAAAAACGAGAATACAGTAAACATGTATGTAAAGATAACTGTGTATATGTATATGTGCAACATGAAGTAGACGCTGAGTGAGGATCCAAACGCAGGGTAATTATACAGAGATGGTCAGCCAAGCAACGGAGACTGTGCTAACCACTGAGCCACAGTGTCGCCCTATGTTCTTGCTAATTCATCTATGAGCAGATTGATTACTATTTAAAATCTCTTTTAATGTAGCCACAAGAATCCAGGCCAAATACAAGGGCTACAGGGTGAAAGGAGACTACCTGAGGCAGAGAGAAGCAGGTATCGAACCTTTCTGGTATTACAGCTACTTAGGATATCTGTGTATGTAACTTCACTCTTAACTGATTTTAACAGCTACCAAGATTGAGACATGTTGGCGGGGCCTGCAGGCCAGAAGAGAGCGAGAAAGAAGAGCCTGGGCTGTCAAAGTCATCAAAAAGTGAGAGAAATATTAGAAATGTCTTTTAGTTCGGCAGCGATGCATTCATTTGATCATAAAATACTTCTGTTGACCAAAAAGTTCTGAACAGTATATGCCCTGCAAAAATACTTTTCCTACTTGAAGTTTTGGTCTGTTTTCTAGACCAAATATCTCAAAAATCTTAAACCAAGAAGCATTTTCTTGACAAGTAAAAAAATTGTTTTGTTTTCAGAAATGAATGTCAAAGTTAAGTTAGTTTTTCCTTAAAACAAAGCAAATAATATGCAAGTAAAATTGAAATAAGAATAATTTACGTAGCCCATTGCTGACTATTTTGCTTAACTTTATTTTAAATTTTATTCCCGAAAACAAAACATGTTTTTACTTGTCTAGAATGTGCTTCATTTCAGATTTGTTTAGATATCTGTACTCTAAATAATACAAAAACTCTATATAGGAAAATCTGTTTTGCAGTTTGTTAAAAATGTAATAGAATCAAGTTTGAGTTTAAGTGTTTCCCTAAAATCTTACAGATTTATTAAGGGCTTCATGAACAGGAATCAGCCTGTAAGCATGGACAACTCTGAATATCTGGCCTTTGTCAGACAGAGCTACCTCACTCGACTCAAAGAGAACCTGCCAAAATCAGTTTTGGACAAAACCACGTGGCTGACTCCTCCACCCATAATGCAGGAGGTAGATCCTTCTTCATTGAAGACAAGTCTTTTTTGAAATTTCATAAGATAAGAATCATAAGATTTTATTGTATTTTATTTTTTCTTTTCTATAAATGAATCTACAGGCCTCGGTTCTCTTGCGTAACCTGTACACACGCCTCCTTGTTAGGAAGTATGTTCGAGGGATCAGCGCACAGAGAAAGATGCAGGTAAAATTGTGTTTTTCACCTCTCATTTATCTGAACATTTATTATCCTACTACATTCTCTGATTGTATATGTTTAATACTCCTATTTTATTTACAGCTGCAAACCAAAGCACTGACCAGTGAAATTTTCAGAGGCAGAAAGGAGAGCTACCCTCAGAGCGTATGCCAACCCTTCGCTGACACTAGGATAAGTAAGAATTTGTCATTTTTTTTCTCAACTATTGCAAGCTACTATTAACTTTGCAGTGTGTAAATCCAAAGGTTACAAATAAACAACATTGTTTTTTGGTTGTCTTCAGGTGAACAGGACATAAACATTAAAGTCTTACAACTGATTTGTCCTGAAGGCATTAAGGTTAGTAAAACTATGAGCTATTCTAGCACTTTTAACAACAAAGTCCTTATATATACACTGTTTTAAAAGTACTGTTTAATCGAGAGAAGATTTTTTTTTTACATTTTAACACAATCAATTTAATAACTAATTTAATAATAATTTATTTAATTTGTCTTTTCCATAATGACAGTTTATGATCCGTCTTTTCGATGAGATGTTAAACAGAGGTTCTGACTCTCTGTGGTCATTTAAAATCCCGTTGCACTTCTCTTAAAGAGTAGGGGTGTAACCCTGGCCAAATTCCCTCCATACCCTTCAAAGCCTCCCAATCATCACCATCCACCGAATTAGCTCTATCATTGTCTCTCTACTCCACTAATTGCTAGTATGTGGTGGGCGCACTGACACGGTTGTCCTGTGGCAATTAAAAGGCCTAACTGTTTAATTTAAAGGCTTAACTAGATTAATTAGGTTAACTAGTTAGTTAATTAATTAATTAGACAAATTAATAAACAACATTAATTTGTTTTGTAGCAAAAACTTTAGCAGTAACCTCAACCTTAGCAGTTTTTAAATTGTTTTGAAAATTTTTTGTTTTACATTGCAGCCAAACACGATTAAACAAACAAAAAAGAAAAGTGTAATAGAAAATACTGTGAAAAATGTGAATGTTCTGTTCACTTGGGAATCTGTGTAAATATAATATGTATTCTTGTAATTTTTCTAGAAAATAACAATTTGTTAATTTGTTTTATTTATTTATTTTAATTGCAAATCAGGGTTTTTCCACTAAATATTGATTTTCTGACACTTCTCATTTTAAATCATTTGTATTGTGTTGTCTAACAAATAAATATAGACATAAAGTCTAAATAATCTAAAAAACATTTTTGTTATTTTATGCCAATTGTTGGTTAAAATAAAAAAAAAACATGTATTAATTTATTGTATTTATTTCTGCAGAATATCTTTTTTAAATTGGCTTGAATGAAAGCATAAAAACTTTTAGCCATTTTTAAGGTCAATAATATATTTTCGATTGTTTAGAGAACAGACTACTGTTATTCAATAACTTGCTTAATTATCATAACTTCCCTACACTGTTAAAAATGCTGGGTTTCATACAAGCAATTTGTGTTGGGACAACATTAAGTAATTAAGTTTACTTTTTACAAATTTAAGTGAATTGAACATAAAACAAATAAGTTGTCCAAAAAACTCAAGAATTGTTTAAAATAAGCTAAAACAACAAAAGTAATTTAAGCAAACAACAAATGTAATTTGTTTGAGTGTAGTTAACATAATAACCTAGTGAGGTCTTTAATTTGCACTTTAAGCTGAATGCTAGTATCTTGCAAAAGAACAAGTAAAATATTATGCACAGTTACCATGGCAAACACAGAACAAATTAGTTATTAGAAATTAATTGTCAAAACTATTATATATGTTGAAAAACTCTTCTCTCCATTAAACAACACTTGAGAAATGTTTTTAAAATAATAAAAATTTCACAGGAGGACTAATAAAATATGAACATGAATTCATTTGTTGGGTGTAAACATATTTCTGTTTTATTCATAAATCATATTTCTGTTCCTGCTGCAGGAATACTTAGTTAAATGTCTGTAGGTGTTTAACTCAAAGTGTAGTAGACACTGGAGTTTTATTTGTTAGTTGGACAGATGTTTATGTCACTGGTATGAAAAAAGTGATTGTGTTATCTCCCTCTGTACAGTACAGTGTTCCAGTGATTAAATATGACAGGAATGGCTTTCGTCCACGTTTCAGACAGCTTATCTTCACTCAGGCCGCTGCGTATCTGGTGGAGGAGGCCAAAATCAAACAGAGGGTGAATTACAGCTCTCTAAAAGGTCAAATTTCAGTGTTGTTCATTAATTAAACATCTCAAATTGTGTGAAATGTCCAATTAATTCATAATCCATGGGTATTTTTATTTATAAATGTATGATATTTTGATATTATTAATATTAATATCCAGCAATAATTTTTCTTCTGTCTTGCCTACAACATGGCTACATTTTGGCTGCCAGTTAAAATCTATCTGACTTTGAAAAACAGTCCAAAAATAGATTAGTTTTCTATTAGAGTTTCAATGACAGGCCAAATTCAGCCTTGTTTTAGCCAAGATGTCTATTAAACTAAATGGTTTAGTGGAATATAAAACTAGAATTTGATATTTCATTTAGAGATGTGTAAATATACCTCTTGATGTAGTTTTGTTTTGTTCAGACTATGTTGTTTATTTAGTCCTATTTTAATCCTTTTAACAGTCCTGTAACATGTCACTGCTAAATTAACCAGTACAGTAGACAAAGCATAATGTTAAAAATAAATCTATTTGTTTACAGTAATGAAAATGAGGCTGTGGGGAATGTGAGTTCTATGGATTGTACTGTTTTTTAAAATACTGTACTGATTATTATGCTAACAATAACAGTTTTCTAGAAAGTGGAAATCAATTGAAAAATTAAAAACAATTACTGATCAGAAGACTGGATGTAGTGCATGTCATTGTGAAGACAGTGTCTGTCTTTCAAAGCCTTGTTTTCCTTTAGGGTAAATTAAGACATGTCTGTAGTCAAGTTCATTTCCTTGTCAAAAATTTTATTTACATAATAAATATTTGCTTTTAACAGGGGTGTCTGTCAGCAACTTAAGTGACAACTTCCTGATACTCCATGTCGCGTGTGAAGACACAAAGCAAAAAGTGGGTGAATAACAACACTATATATATATATATATATATATATATATATATATATATATATATATATATATATATATATATATAACCTACAATATCACTGAAATATAATGTATTTTTTAAGGGAGACCTGGTCTTGCAGTGCAGCTATCTGTTTGAGGCATTGACAAAAATCTGTGTAGTGACAAAGAACCGCAGCCTCATCAAAGTTGTACAAGAGAGGTGAGATATTTTGTCTAAACAGCCTCAAATACACAGAGAAAATATTTGTTGTGTTTAAAATGAATGTGTTTTACATACAGTGAATTTTTTCATTGTTGTTTTTGTAGCGTGAGGTTTGACATCCAGCCTGGGAAAGAAGGCTTTGTTGATTTTAAGAGTAGCAGTGAATCCATGGTCTATAGAGCCAAGAACGGACACTTGATGGTGGTGGGTCTACATAATGCAATCTAAATAACATAATACACATATTATAAAACAATACATATTTAGTGCTGTTTTTTTGTGACTACAGATTAAGCCAGATTTTATATATATATATATATATATGTATATATATATATATGTATATATATATATGTATATATATATATATATATGTATATATATATATATGTATGTATGTATGTATGTATGTATGTATGTATGTATGTATGTATGTGTGTGTGTATATATATATATAATATGTATATGTGTATATATATATATATATATATATATATATATATATATATATATATATATAATATGTGTATATATATATATATATATATATATATATATATATATATATATAATGTGTGTATATATATATGTGTGTGTGTGTGTGTATATATATATATATATATTTGTGTATATTTAAACATCATTTGGGAAATATTTGAAAAAGGGAAGAAAAAAATCACAGGAGGGCTAATAGTTTTGACTTCAACTGTATGTTTATCATTATATATGATAATAATACTATGCTATTAATTAAGCTATAATATCATGCAGTGTAGTTAATAAATAATTCAATAAATAAAACAATTGACATCCCTTCACAGTGATCATTTATACATATTTACATGTTTTCTTTTGCAGGAATCTGCACGAACAAAATCTCGATGACAAAGTTTTACCTCACAGACTTCTCCACAGTGGAACAGTAATGCATGGAGGCACACAAATTAATACATTCATCAGCTCAATAAGAAACAAAATAACATTTAGACCTAAACAAAATATGTGAATCACATGTGGGAGGCATAATATGTGCTTTTAGGGTTCCTCAAGGGATTAGAGTTGGGTAAAACTGCTTTAGAATATTTTTAAAAATGACTTTATTCTTCAAGGGACGAATAATAAAACTTTATTCAACAATTTATTCACGTACGCACATTTACCATTCACATTTATTAAGAAGAAAAGTCAACAAGTTGAGCTGGTGTATTAAAATAGCTGGACTTCTGTTTTTTTTTGTTTTGTTTCGTTTGTATAATTTGAAGTGTTTAAATTCTGTATTTTTAGCTGTTTACTGTACATTGTTTTGTTGTGCTTTTTATAAACTCATATTTTGTTATAAATATTCAGCATTTCATGAAAAGGACTAATATTTCTTATCAAATGGAATTGAGTTTGTCTTTGAGCTTGCTAAACTGTGCACTTTTCTGATGGACAAAATGTATGTTAATTGTTGCTTTAAAGCGGAACTTTTTTTAAAAAAAATTGTCCAAATGAAGTGCTGTAGCCTACTTGTTAATCTCATACATTGGGTATCATGACAGAAAAACTTATACTGTGCTCATTTTTGTATTTGTATTTTGTTTTATCTCCCATACTGCCAAAACCTGACAACATGCAACATGCCAGCTTCATTGCATTGACAAACATACACGTAAGCTGGTTATGCCCAGAACACATGAGAAAAAACAATGTATTTACATAATTTGAATAAAGTTTCAAATATAAAATGCCATTTAATATGAGATACAGAACATATGTAATATTTGTAAGCTGTAATATGATATATGTTTGATAGTAATTCCTGGACAGCCAGTTGTTGTCATGCTTTATCTGAACAATCCATTGAAATTTGTTTGGCTGTTGTCTTAAAATGCAGCAGAAATATATGTAACTTAATGAAATCAAGACGGTAGACTCATTTTTATAATAATGTATTGTACTTTTTTAATTTGTGATGTCTTTTTTCTCTTGGTAATTCAGTTCATCTATTGTATAAACTATTTGCAGTGGTCATCACTTGGTGGACGGTTCCTGATGTTTCCAACTAAAGCATACAAATAAAAGCAATGTAATAAAAGTAATGTATGAAATCATTTTTTTATTAATTCATTTTTTTATTGCAATAACAACAGGCAATTTTAAAAGACTGAAATACAATCAGATAGAAGTATAGCACAAATAATATAAATATTTTTTCAACAAGAGAAAAGGGACAATTTTAAAGAAATATAGTAAACGTAAAGCAAAAGAAAGACAAAGAAGAAACAAAAATAGATGAGAGGGCACATGAAAAAAATAGACAAATTAATGCAGGATATCAAATAAAGCACATATTTTATAAGTTTTAACTGCTTTCTTGTTATGAGAGTCTGTAGTGGTTTTCAAGTGCAGTTGTTATTCTCATTTGGCTTACATTGAGTATATTTACATTTATGAATAAAAAAAACTTTATAATAAATAATATGAGGTTTACAAAAAGTTGAAATAGTTTTTTCTTTAATATAAAACCCCAAAATGACATGTAAAAAGAAAAGAAAATTCACCACACACCTTTTGGAGAGAAGGCTACGCGTCAAGCAAACCTCTGTTGCCACCTCGTGGTCAGTCAGTAACTTGAGAATGTTTTTATAATAAGCCGAATGGAAGCAACCGCAATTGAATCACTTTAAAAAAAACTTTTTTTAATAAGCAGGCTCTTGCTAAATTAGTTTTTCAAGTTTACTTTGAGAACGCGATGAACAGAATGTAACGACTTTGCAAGTTCCATATAAAATCTGGCCTGCGATTGGCTGATCATCTTGTCAATCATCACCACTCTGTGTGACGTAGAAAGACTTCCTCTTCGCGTCTTCCATCGACTGTTGTTCTTAAAATGGCGCCGTTGGACCTGGATAAGTATGTTGAAATTGCGAGGCAGTGCAAATATCTACCAGAGAACGACTTAAAGGTGATTGATCTGAGTAATTTTATGTTTCTCTTAGAATATTGGACATGCTAGCGATTGATGTATTTATAAACTCGTGTTGGTTGTGGCGGAAGGTGTTAAAATAGCAGTGTGTCAGTGCAATGCAGTCGCTGCGTATGAGTCCAGTCTATTATCTTATGTTCCGGGATTGATTTCATTCGTATTTTCAGAAATAATCGTATATAACGTTACGACCGTAAGGACAGTTGGGCATAACAAAGTTGTGTAAGGGACTATTTTCTTGCGGACACATAGGGTGGCTAACTTCTGTTGCTATCATGCGAACTAGTTTGAAACGCCCATTTTATGCTTTCCATCATCAACCTTGTTAAATCTTAATTCATGACATCTGCGTCTTTGTTAGCAGGTTTCAGGTTTGATTAAATCGTCCTCCATTCGTTTGTTTTTAAATATAATTCTTGTACGTAAACAACTGGGCTTCTGGATCAGTTCATAATGATGCAATGCAACGTCTTACCAGTTTCATCCAGTACCGCCAAATATGACACAAAAATAGCAACAGTGATCAAACAAATGATTATACGATGTTGAAATAATGTGGCTTAGGAAAAAAAGCTCATTTTTAAATTAATAAATGTGACCTTAGATGCGCCGCTAGATCTGCTTCTGTCACCATCGTTGATAGCATTCACTTGACAAACTTGTTCAAATCTTGTCTTCATTTCTATTGCTTTGACAGAGATTATGTGACTATGTATGTGACCTTCTGCTTGAGGAATCAAATGTACAGCCAGTATCCACTCCAGTCACTGTATGCGGGGACATTCATGGACAGGTGTGTGTGCAGGCTCCATTAATGCATCCCTGGTATTGATGTTGAGCTGATGTCGTGTTTTTGTAAAAACATGCATACTGACTAAGCTTTTTTTTTTCTTTTATAAATAGTTTTATGACCTATGTGAACTCTTTAGAACTGGGGGCCAAGTACCAGATACAAACTACATTTTCATGGTGAAGTATATTACAACAATAATTTTAATTGATGATTTGTGATTAGTACTGCGTTGGAAATTGTTCCACCATCATCTATTGAGGAGACATTGGTATGTTTTCTTTCATCCAGGGTGACTTTGTTGACCGAGGATATTACAGCTTAGAAACATTCACATATTTGCTAGCACTTAAAGCAAAGTGGCCTGACCGCATCACACTGTTGCGTGGCAATCACGAGAGTAGGCAGATTACACAGGTCTATGGCTTTTATGGTAAGGCTGCAGAAATCAGAGATTTTGAAATATTTTGTTTTGAATTTACTTGGGATTTTAATTGTTTTGGCTTTCTGTCTACAGATGAGTGCCAAACTAAATATGGAAATGCTAATGCCTGGCGATACTGCACTAAAGTATTCGACATGCTCACTGTTGCTGCCGTAAGTGTTGATTTTGGAATACCTATCTGTCTGTCTATCTGTCTGTCTGTCTATCTATCAATCACACATCTCAACATTATCAATATTTGTTTTGGTCTTCTTACTAATGGGCCTCACTCAGGAAACACATGTTTTTGTTTAAATCAAATAATTTTAGGATGTTTTTGTTTAAATCAAATAATTTTTGGATTAATGAAACTGTTTATATTTCTAAGTATGAATTGGTATAAAAGAAATGTAGGAAACTATACATCCAGTTATTGTCTTGCGCTTATCCGGAGCTAGGTCATTGGGGCAGCAGTCTCAGGAGAGAACCTCATACTTCCCTCTCTCTGGGCACTTTCTCTAGTTCCACTGGGGGATCTTAAGGTATTCCCAGGCAAGCGAGTGACAGTTCCTTTAGCGAGTCATTGGTCTTCCCCTTAGCCTCCTCCTGGTGGGACAAGTCCAGAACAGTTCTAGGAAGCATTCAAAATAGATGTCTTGGCCACGTCTCTCCATGTGGAGTAGCGACTCTACACTGAGTCCCTCCTAAGTGATAGAGCTCCCTCACTCCATCTATAAGGGTACCCCCTGCCTCTCTGCGGAGGAAGTTAATTTCGACCACTTGCACCCAAGATCTTGAATTTATAGTCATGACTATAGGGCTGTGTCCGAAATCGCATATTTCCCTATTATATACTATGTGGAAAATCAACATGTAAGTGGAGCAGTTTGTCTTAATTCATATTATTTGGAAAAAACAGTATACGAGAAGTACTTGGAACACCTCTTGCTTCCAGTGAGATTGTGAAGTGTGCATCCGATAACCTCTACACTATCCTATGCGCGCTGTTTGTGTTGCTCTGTAATAACTCTTTCGAAACGCTAGCTGGCAGTGAGGTTTTTATGTTCCTCTGTGTCGAGTTTCTTCACTGTTTTTTTTTTTTTCGCTACCTCAATGTAGAACAGGGGTCTCAAACTCAATTTACCTGGGGGCCGCAGGAGGCAAAGTCTGGGTGAGGCTGGCCCGCATAAGGGATTTCACAAAAAAAAGTCCTCAAATGTCATTATTAACAGTTTTAATTATTTCTTCTGAACATGAAGTGTCCTGAACATTAATAGAACATTGAGTGAAGATTATGAACAGTTCTTCTGAACATGGCATCTTTTGCCTACTCCTTGCTGCCAGAGACTTGACAGCGCTTCTTCTCACAAATCTGAACCACATTTGGCTTTAGAGCGGAAGCAGTTGAGACCCTCAGTATGGCTTGGGGGAACTCACTCAAAACTTCCATTCCCTCACCTAAAAAAAAGGCGTATATGTATAAATAAAACACCCCCACCCCACTCCAGTCACATCAGTCTGTACCAGTCTGTATCTACCTATAATATATATAAGATGCAGGCTGTAGCTAGGTAGGTGGCAGGCTGCAGATAGGTAGCCAAGTGGCAGGCAGGGGCTGGAACAGCTTACCTTGGTTCTGGCCGGCGCGAGTTCCCTCCTAACACTTCCCGCCCGTCACAGCGTCTAACAAAGGGGCGGGGTGCGTGGTGACTTCACCGGCATCCCCGCCCCTTTGTTTACACGGCGGGCGGGGAATGCCAGTGACCGCTGTGTACGGATAGAATCAGCGGAGCGGGGAGCGCTCTCTCTCCCCGCTCCGCTGATTCTGTCAGTGTACAGCGGTCGGCGCGGGCCACAAAATATTGCACTGAGGGCCGCAAATGGCCCGCGGGCCGCGAGTTTGAGACCCCTCAGGGCTCGAAATTGCGCCCATTTTGGTCGCACATGCGCCCGAAAATTAATCTATGCGACCTCATAATATATTTGGGCGCATTAGTGCGACTGCAGATAATGGTTGTAGTGCGACCTGTTTTGATTTTTTGTAAAAACGTGCTGAATCGCTCTTCCCTGCCGCTAAATTGGTTCATATTAGCTTTCATTCACTCAAGGTATTCCGCTGTCAGATGACAGGAAAGGAGCTTTTATGACCACGGGAAATGCAAACGGCTGAAGAGTAAAGACTTAAAGCACACAGGTTTGCAAACCCCACCTAAAGTTGAGGTGCAGATGAGAGCGATCATGACACGTCACGTGGTGAATAATGATCCACCAGCTGAGATCAATTGAGTACGCGCTTCTTGGAGAAGGCGCCCGAATCTCCATGCGTCGCATTCACTGCGTGTTCAGCGCAAATGTCCGCTAAAAGTCAAATCTAATACTGTACATATCATCGCCAAAGAAGCTCGCCTTTACTAAGTTTACACTGAAACTGCGGCTCATAACAAAGAGCGGTATTTCGCCGGTGGTCATCGCAAGAATCCTGCTCTGCCTGCTCATAAATTGGGTCAGCTGACTCGCCTGCTTTTCCACTAACACAGAAAGATGAAGATCAGCTCAGACTGAACCTTTAAATTGACACAAACTGAAACCAAAACTTTTAAAGAGTGATAGAAGTGAGACTTTACTTTCTTTCTTTTGTCTATTCTTTTTTTGAGGTGTATATTATTTTTGATTTATTTACTGATGACTGCTTTGCAGCTTTCATCATTGAATTGAATGATTTATTATAATCTTTTGTTTGTTTTGTAGCAGAAATATTATTTAATAAATTGATGTGCATATAAAAACAGCAGTTCAAAATAAATATTTCTTACTGCAATGCTTCATTTTTGTTCGATGCAAACTATACAGTTATTTTTCATAAAGTAACAGACATTTTATAGCAGATAACATACATTCA